CCCCCACATGATCTGACCTGACTCATCCTCTAGCACATGACATCATTCAATCAGTGGGCAGTGTTTCAGTGACTGAATTAGTGATCTAGTAGACTAGAAGTTGGTAGAATCATCGTTGCATAATCACATCCTCAGCTTGCGTCGTTTCAGTGCTACTCTTCGGGCTTATTATTCCCAGATCTAGACCGCTGTTCATTGCTTCTGACGTTGATACCGAAGCGATGTATTACTTGGCCTATATCTTATAAGAGGGGTACATAGCGCTCGTTTGGAGGGTCCGAATTCGAAGAGATCATCATGGACCATGGGTAAGCTCAGCGTTAACAGAAACATCGCATGCTAAGGAGTTCAAGAGGCACCTTGAAGCGCTTTGTCGGTGAACATCATCAGTTTGTTCCGAGGTCAGTCTGAATTTCGATTATTGATGGGAGTCACGGCCGACCCTTCGATGATATGACGATGAAAAGAGTGCGGCAATGATGGGTAGTGGAAGAAGTTAAGATGAACCGGAAAGTTTGTTGTGGCCAAGTTATTGCTATTGATGCCTGGGGAATTCAATGCTTTCCGTCCTGACTATCCGGGGACTGTCATTGCTACTATCCTTTTTCTCACCCTCCATGAAAGATCGATCGTATGGACGTCAGGTCCAAGTAGATGAAGAGCTATGGATCCCACAAATACACCTACACGTACATGCTAGACAAGAAATGATGCACAAACCGCCTCTATTAAACAGACCCCAGAGCACCGAAGCTCAAGCCTCGGGCTAATCCCAAGCGTAACATCTTGAGAACCTCCTCTCCCTTGATATCCTCCGGTACAGCAGCTCGCCAGTCCCATCCGCGCTCGTGGGATCCGGTGTGAGCTCCATCTCCGGGACGAGGAACCAACACACCTGAGCCGGTCACAGATCCCGAGCCAGACATGGTTCGGTTCCGAGCACTTTCGATCATATCACTGCCAATTAAGGAAAATGTGCTGGATGCGGTGAGCGAAGATACAGATTTCTTCAAAAGTGCCCGTGGTGACGGCGGCAGAACGTAGGATTCAGCGGAGGATCGACCGCCGGATGATGCACGCTCAGAGGAGTGATGCTCGATGAGCGCAGAGCGGAAACATTCTTCGCACTGGGAGTAGACCCGGGGTGTGACCGTTTCCAGATCCTCAATTGCGGAGAGAATAGTAAACTGTTGAGACATCGAAAGAACCGGAGTGTTTTCTATCACGAAGTCAGCCTCTGAAGGTCATGCGTCAAAAACAACTATCACTTACGATCAATAAACGGCAAGGCCTCTCCCAAGAGTGTCAGAAGCCCATCCACTTGCACCGCAGAGTCACGACCAGGATCATAGAGTCCACCGTAGATACTATCTGCGGCGCTACTGATTACTGCCACCAAAGCCTGGGCTGCTGCCCTACGTCTGGCTAACGGTTTGAACCGAGGTCGCTGTCCCTCCTTGAGCCCGATCGCTTCATCTCGTATCTCATAAAACCGTCGTAGAGTGGCATATCCGCTGAAATAAAATTGGAGGATGCTTGCAGCGTCCTCGTCGGAACCCGCAATCGCTGAAAGGCAGGTCTTTGGGTCTCTGATCAATGCCTCCAGCTGCTCATCGAGGTCTGCAGATGCGGGATATGCGCGTGATTGAACCAGGCTGTACGAGATGAGTAGGTCGACAACCGACTTCACCTTCCGACGGCTGTGTGCGCGAGCGTAACACACCAATGCCAGGCCGTACTCATCAGATTTTTCCACCGTTTGATCACCAAATCGCTACCGGACGGTCAGTTTCGAGATCAAGAAACACAACAAGGGTAGTGACTTAGACATGGGCGTACCTCAGACACTCTCCTTCCTTCCTTGTCCAGGCCAAGCTCGGAGCAAAGTAATACCACTTTGTCCAACTGCTCAACATTGTCAAGAGGGATCTTGTCAAGTAATTCCGAAACACTCTTCTGCAATTTCTCCGCGTCATCTAGGCGGCTCACAACTTCCAGAGCAAGCTCCCAGCCATCACGAACGCCGGACGTGTGCTCAATCGTACGTCGTTTGAACAAGCCGAGCGCATAGCTGCTTAGAACGTCATCCTTGCGAACTCGCTTGTTCGGCTCATTCCCGTTCTGACCGTACGAGAGGACCATCAGGTCATTCTCACTGAGACCCGGCAGCGGCTTCGCTCCTCTCTCTGTATCGAGCCAGCCACCTATTGAGGCGACCTCAGCCACAGCCGAGGCAATGCACAATGACCATGTTTGGATCAGCTCAAGCACACCGTCAACGTTGCCCTCGAAAACGGAAGCTAGGCCGACCTCAAGGCTACTCAGCGGATTGACCCTGAAACTGGAATCTGCCATTTCCTCATTGATAGCGCTACGGAAGGCAAGATCCAGGCGCTGCAGATAGGCATTAACAGGGTCTTCGTTGGCATCGCGGAAGGCCTGCGATCTGAACATGCCGCTGAGGGGGAGGTCGCCCTTCCCTTGCGCTGTCTCATCATCCTCACCGTCCCACCAGGCCGTAAGCGCAATGGTGGCCTCGATCCAGTCTTGCGCGAGGTTCAGAATGGCGTTGGCATCACCGAGTATGATACGATACAGACATCTCAAACTTTGATAGATCGTCCAAGGCACACGGCTTTCTGCCATGCGCGCAGATTTGGTGAAAGAGAAGTCGGCTTTTGCTGGACTAGGCTTCAGCCCAAAGTTAATTGCCTGAAAGCGACTGTCCGTGACCGGAGGCTCGACCGATTGCTGCTCTCCTCCTTCCGCAAATTCCTCCAGATCTGTTACGGCCGTTGTGACACGTTTTCTGTACAACGCCCACTCGGCGCCTTTGACATCCCAGTCATCGTACTGGATGCTGGGAGATGACTGCAAAATTTGAAGAGCCTTATTGATACATCTTTGGATATTTTGCAGCTGTGCTCCACGATAGCCTGATTGGGGTAAGCCATCCTCCAAAGCTGACCTGGCATAATTGAAGTCCGCCGATCGCAGTATATCTGCCGCCTCCGAGAAGCGCCCGCGTAGCACCGCTGCATTGATGATCTCCCAGAAATTGGAAGATGCGGTGGGATTAGGCTCAACTTCCTTCAAAGCTCGCAGGTCCTCGTGCTGAGACGAATGATACGCTTCAAGCCAGTCCAAAAGAACCTTGGGTATTGGCGTAGGTGTATCCGATTTTGAGGCCGCGACGACTAGACTCCGGGGAGCCGCAAATCCTAGATTATTGCTGAGACTCCCTTGCTTGGGGCCGACAGAGGCGGGTGATGGAGTTGAAGCAGTAGAGAGCCGAGAAAGCTGGCCTTGGCAACATCAGGAGCACGATCCCCAGGTCCAATGTCCGTCCCTGCGCCAGGTGGTCTGGGGACACGGCTTCCCTCCATGGATCGCTTCCATGAGTCTGTAAGTCTGTTGCACACCTCAGAGAGAATAATTTGAATGTCTCTATTCGTAAACTCAGATTGTCTCACTTCGTCGTACATTCGACACATTTCGTCCTCGGTGCTGATGATCACGTCACTTGGCTCGTTGACCACCGCGGGCCCGGCTCGAGAGGCGAAGTTCCGTACGATCGAGGGCATTGCGGAGTCCTTCTTTGGAGACAGTTTACCCTTGCGCAACGGTGATTGTTGAGCCCATTTTTCGTCGAGCTTCGGCCGTTTTGCATTGCCCGGGTTTGAGTATATTGACTTTCGTTGACCATGCGACGTAGGCTGTGCTTGTGTGGAATTACCAAACTGCGAGTCTAAGAAGCTCAATCGGTGTGCGGCGTTGCCCATGTCCATTTCATCCTCCTCCTGGACATCCTCTTCCTCCTCGGGTATCATTTGTTCGTCATCGGCGTTGGTCTCTGCATCCAATTGCGAAGTAAAGCCATTAGACATTCCGAAACCGGTCGACTCGCCGAATCGAGTATTGTTCGTCATGCTGAAAAGCGACTGCGACTGCGCGAAGGATTTCCCTGTTCCAGCATTTTTGGCTTGGGGCGCTGGCTGATGGAAGGATCCAACAGAAGAATTGAAGATGCTGTCATTGAAATCGACGCCTCCGGATTTGGTGAAAAGGGACTGGGGAGAATCCAGCTGGGATCTGGAGCTCATCTGAGAGCTTCCGAATATGGTGGATGGAGGAGGGCCTCGAGGAGTGAAGGACTTGGCTGCGGAAGGCGGAGCATCTCCAGGAGTGGCCGAGATGTCGCTGAAAAAGCTCCGAGACTTGTCTGGTGTCGAAGGACTCGATCCATAAGGTACCTGGAAGCTCATATTGATGGTTGACGAGGTGTTAATTGGTAGGGAGAATGAGGAGTAGTGGCACTTTTTAGTAACGGCACCAGTACCAGCGTCACTGAGCACCGGAGAATGAAATCTCTCTTTCTTGAGATTCCTGGTGCTATTCCAGCTCGTAACAGGCAATTCCTCCGGAAAAGGCCGGAGAATAGATGCGCAGTAGCTGCCAGTCAGGTGGCAGACTGAGAAGCGAGCTAAGGAGGACAAAAATCAGCAGCGATCATCACCTTGCCGTCAACACTTTGCCGTGTTTCTCCTTCTGCTTCATGAACCATTATTGCTCTCCATTGATTGACGCGCGCTGGGTCTTGGCGTCCAGTTGCTATGTCATGTGATATCATGTGACAGATTATAGTCACGTGTAACGATTGCCTAGGCATGAAATGTGGTTGGCTGTTCCAAGTGGCAAATTGGTCTAGCCGCTTTGGGCTGGTCGTATTCGCTGCGTTTTGTGATTGGCTAACGTATAGCACGGCCTCTTAAGGCTGATTTTTATATGTTAGGTAGACTGGTACAGAGGTACAGAGACTCAGCCCCATAATAAGCCATGGAAACCGCCCGTATTGCTGGCAACGGAGTACCCGATGTCGATCATTCGGGCAATCAACTGGGCATTGCCACCCTTCGATTGACCAGAAACGGAAACTATCCTTCATATCCAGATGAATAGTGTTTAGACCAAGCTTTGCTACGGAGTGAACAAATGGCTCAACTCAAGAACGCTCCTATTCGCTAACTAGCCAGCAGACTATAAAGATGCCAGGTCTTCCTGGATAATTCAGATCTTTCCCTAGGATCATACCGTCCGCGAAAATGAGTCGCTCCAAAGAAACCTATGGCGCCGACGATGCCACCCTCGCGGATTCGTGCAGTGCTTATCAGACCACAATGACTGAGAGCAAGTCTCTTGGTTCAGTCCCTTCGAACAGAGACAGCTGCCGCCGCCTTTATCATATATATCACACACTCTTCCGCCATGATTACAACGTCCACAATGCCGACAAGGAACAACTATACCACGTCCGCAATTCCACGTGGACACCAAAGAAACCCGATCTCAGCGTTCATGCCGGCACTAGTGCCGAAGCACCGGTACTGGCAGTCTGCAAATTCCTGCATTTCTCAAGGCATCTCAAAGTCGGTCTGGGAAATCCTGAAACACCAAACTCAGTCGACTGGGAAGATCTTGTGTCTCTCAGCCACCTTCATGCAAGATATCGGTTTCAAATGTCTCTCCACTCCGAGGATGGGGTAGAACGGCGAGCATTCATTTGGAAGAGCACGCAATCGGTAGGAGTCGGGGAAACAAAGCCTTCGATGTTTTCCTGGAGCAACTACAAGCTTGTTGATGAGGCGACTGATCGGCTCGTTGCCGTGTTTACGAGCAGCCTTTGGGGCTGTAAGAAGTCTGGGAAGCTTGAGATCTATGCAAATTATGGGCAGGAATTCGAGCTGATGGTCATCATCACTGCTCTTGCTCTGTATGAGAAACAACGGCGCCGAGACAGTAGATCCTCAGGAGGAGGAGGAGGAGGCGGCGGTGGTGGTGGCTGAGAAAGGGCTCAGCTATTCTGAGATTCATGAATGGGAAAGGTGATTCTGTTTCTCTTCACATACTCGTCGCTTCTGTGTCTTTCTTCCCTACTTGTCGCGTTGAGCACAGATACCATATACGCTGCATTCTTGATGGATTTCATTTTGATACAGATTTAGCAGCGAATATCGAATAATGGAAATTGTTTCTTAGAGTCCAGAAATTAAAAAAGAAAAAAAAAAATAAACACTGTAGTAAAACGCCACTGAAGAAGCGATAAGGTTGGATGACATAATCAGCTGGGGGCATCTTTTGTGTTGCCTAATGTGGGACATTCTTTTGAGTACAAAACTGCCAACGCTATGCACAGAGTGCCCTCCAAGAGATGGCTCTTCGAAGACCTCATCGTAAATCAAGACATGGCTGTGTAGAGTGCAAACGACGCAGGGTCAAAGTACGGAGACTCACACCACTTAGCTGAGCTGCAAATATCACTAACGACTCTCAGTGCGATGAAGCTCGCCCAGCGTGCTCCAACTGCGTCAAACGCAGGGCGCAATGCGAGTATGACTCCAGCGGCTCATTTTTGTGGGCTAATGGGAGGTCGCAGTCCCGCTCGAGGTCGAACAAATCTGCCTCCGAGGGGCCTCCGGAGCGACAATCGCTCCACGACACCGCCGTTTCCTTTGGCATTCTCGGGAAGCTGGGTGGACACGGCGTGGCAACTCAGTATTCACTTACCGGCCTGAACCTGTGTGATTTGGAATTGATGATGCAGTGGTGCAATGAGACCTATAGGTCTTTTTCCCGCAACGAGCAAACGGACCGCATTTGGCGCGCCTGTGTCCCTGAAGAGGCGCTGTCATACCCGTTCCTCATGCATGGGATACTAGCTATCTCTGCACTTCATATTGCGCGGACCAGGGCTGACCATCGCCGTGCCTACTACGTCAGCATTGCTGTCGCGCATCAGGACCAAGCATTGGCCTTATTTCGTGAACGGCTACATGATATTAACCCCTCCAATGCGAAAGCCATGTTTGCGTTTGCGAGCATTGTGGCCGTCTATGCATTTGGCTATCCTCATCCGCCAGATGCAAAAGACTCATGGGAGTACATCGACGATCTCCTTCAGATACTTATCCTGTCGCGGGGCGTGCACCAGGTGCTGACTACCGCATCTTCTTCGATAAAGGACAGCGATTTTGGACCAATTGTACAGTTTGACGAATATGAAGTCAACCTTCCCGACGATATACTCTTTGCCTTAGGAAAGCTCCAAGATGCAAACAAGTCGATTGGAGAGACAGATTCCACGCACGATACGTCTGTCTATGAGGACACCATTGACAAATGGGCAGATATGACAGGCGCGGTGTACAACGGCCTAACTTCCATTGCTGTCGCCTGCAGGTGGGCAATCAGGCTGCAACCGAGATACGTGGATTGCCTGCGGGAGCGGGAGCCCCTAGCTCTGGTCATTCTGGCATACTACTGCGCAATGCTCCATCGCCTCCGACACAATTGGTGTCTCGACGAGTGGGGTCCTCGGGTTTCAAAGGCGCTCTGGCTCGTTCTAGATGAGCGTTGGCGCCCGCTGATATACTGGCCTATGAGAGATATCTTTGGCCAGGCATTCGAGCCGAATTTAACCTGAGGCACCAATGTTGAAAGCATAATTCTATCTACATCTGGCATTTGCAGTCCCGTCCACAGGCGAATAAGCGCACGTGGAGACGATAATAACAAAAAGTCAAAGAAACGGTCGCTCTAGCGGAATGACAGGTTGGAAGGAAAACGACACGGCGGTATAAACTCGACAAACAGACAAGTTCATGAAGCATCATCGCGGCAAGGCTAGAGAGCTACTCAATGTGCTAAACAGGAAGAGCAGGCTCACAGACTTGGAGACCCCCTTTGGCTGTCATTACTTTCCCGCGACCCAACAGGCAGTTGATCTCGCTCGGGTGGACAACGAGAAAGATAGCCATGACGAACCACATCAGAAGTCCGTCTAGTACATATATGAACACTTCGCTCTGCAGCAACGAGCCATCCCAGCCTTGAAGGTATTCGGCAACTCGAAACACGGATCGAACCAGGATCAGAATACTTGATGCATATAGCGCGCCCATATGTTTCTTCCATGGAATGTACTCCGCGACTGACTCGGGAGTTGAATGGGCAGCGATCCGACGCTGGAAGACAAAAGCGCTTATCACAAAGAAACCGAAAAAGATGATCTGGACAAAGAGACCGCCAACGATGACATTTTCGCCCGTGCTTTGGTTGTCCGTGACCAGGATCCCGGCCCCTGTCGTGCAACGGCTCGTCAGTGTTTAACTCTCATCTAGGACATAATGGCCGAAAACCCTACCTGATGCTTGCATCAAGAAGCTGAGAACGTCTCCCGCGACAAATATCTTGGTCATCCAGGTTACCCGAATGATAGCAAACTTCTCCCCTTTGACGAGAAGGATGATTCGGCCCAACTCCATGTATATACTGGCCGCAAACAGCGCAGGCGCTACCAGCAACAATGTGCTCTGCATGATGTAGGGGCCAAGGGTCCAGTTTGGCGATTGGGATGCTGACAGGCAGCGTCCAATGTATCCTATCAATTCGACTTGTCGAAGTCAGATATCCAGTCCAATAGACTCATCCCACAAAAGCGGATCGGAACTTACAGTAGCCTCCTATCACCAAAGGAATAAAAAACCATGTTCTTGTTCGAAAGAGATGGAACGTATGTAGCAGAGTGACAGCGCCAAAGAGGATGACGAATATCACTCCTGCCGCCATGGAGGGATAGTACTCATAGGCTACCCAGCCTTCATATGCTCGCTTTAACAACATGGTGATTTAAAGGTAGCAATGATAAACACAGCAAGGAGGAATGGTTTCAGAACTAGAATGTTTGTTTGAGGGGACGGATTTCAAGCAACAGGTAGTCAATTTGATCAGAACGATACACAGCTACGAAGATATCTACATCTTATATAGCTCTGCTAGTCGCCTCCTCAATAAATTTCAAATTCATCGAATTTTGTTCATCCTAAGGCAACATTGAAAACCCACTATTGAGCGACTGGATTCTTCGTATATCTCGTACTGATTCCCCTTTTCGGTAACGATGATCTTTTCTCGATGCCAAGATCTCCACCGTTCCAGCCATCTGCAGACTTTCGTATTTCTTACTCTACAAGGATAAGCACCTTTGAGTCCGTAACGTAGTTGCGCAGTTGCCCTTCGAACCATGTAAACCATGGGTACAGGTGGATATGAATCGCTTTTTATAGATATGATAAATTGTACTAAAACTAATACATTACAATTTCGACTGCGCCCCCATCTCGTTGGACAGTACGTATCGGTACCTCGCTTTATTAGCATCCATATCAGCCAGAGCGGCATTGATATCGTGCATCGGCCGCTCCTGAATCCACGGCAACACCTTCTTCTCCGCAGCTAGCTGCAGCATCTCCCGAATATCATCCGGAGACCCAATATTCGACCCAGTAACTTTCACCCCCTTCTGGATCAACGACCATGCCGTCAACGGCGGCAGCGGCGACTCCGGCGCTCCAACCTGGACGAACGTCCCATCCACCTTGAGCAGCCGCAGATACTGCGCAAGAGGCATATCCGGCGCGTCAACGGTACAGATAATCAAGTCCAGGGAGCGCGCATGCGCCCTTGCCCATTTCTTCTCCTCGTCTGTGGCGACGAACGCATCCGCTCCCAGACCCTCCAGCGCATCCCTCCGCTTGCTCGACGACCGCGAGATCGCAACGACGCGATCACAGCCCATTGCCTTCGCAAACAGAATCCCCATATGCCCCAGCCCGCCAATCCCAATTATCCCAACCGCCTTCCCCGGCCCGGCAGCATACTTCCGCAACGGGGCGAAAACAGTCACGCCGCCGCATAGCAACGGCGCCGCGGCAGCGGAGGGCAGCGCATCGGGGATCTTGAACGCAAAGTGCGCTGGCCCGCACCAGAACTCCGCGAACCCGCCGTAGGCCTTGCTCTTGTCCGCGTACCGGCTGTTGTAGGTGCCTGTGATGCGAGGGCAGTAGTTCTCGCGGCCGTCGGCGCAGGGCTCGCAGTCTGCGCGGAGACAGGACATGCTTTGGGCGCCGATGCCGACGCGGTCGCCGACTTTGATTGAGCGGGAGGCCGGGGAGGAGGCGAGGGTTGGCACGCCGCGGCCGATGCGGACAACCGTGCCGATTATTTCGTGGCCGACGACGCAGGGGTAGTCGGTTGGGCCCCAGCCTGAGCGCAGGGTGTGGATGTCTGTGCCGCAGATGCCGCAGTGGGAGACTTTGACTTCAATGTCGGTTTCGGTGAAGGGTTTAGGTTCGAAGGTGGTGAATGTTAGAGGGCTGGTGGCGTCGCGGGCGACCCAGCCATGGAATGCTTTTGATGGCGATGAGGACATGATCCAATTGATATGATAAGGCCTTCAGTGTGAACTAGTAGTTTGTTCGTGTATATATAGAGTATCCAAATGGTTCGTAGGGTGTTTGCAGTCTGAGATGCGAAGGGTTGGTGTTTGAAAGAGGAAGAATACGCTCAACCAGTGAACGAAAGTTGAGGTACCAGATAAAGTTGCAACAATGATTGTTTAGTAGTTGTTGATCTGATGTTTCCAAAGTGAACGGCCAGGCAATAAATAATGCGGAGATATGACTTATTGCGGTTCGAAGCTCCAGTTGCCGAGGTTGTGGGGAAGCTTTATGTGCACAAGATGAGATGCCGACAGACACTCTTCAGCTTGCCCGTTGGCTTCTCCTCAAAATAACTTGCGAGCGTATATTATGGAATTATTGTAATTGATAGTAGATGGTTCGCTCCAGAACAGTACAGAGTGGCAGCGATTACGTCCGCTGTGTCATAAGAATCCCGCCCTTGAGTAGGTGCGCAAAAAGGAATGTATGTACAGATAAACTGCTTGGGGGTATCAACAAAACCGAACGCCAGACAGATATATTCCAAACAAGGGCGCCGATCCCGTCATCGCGATGGCATGCCCAACAGCTCTCCAAGCTCGTCACTGGTCAATGTGCTTCTTCGTCGGTCGCGAGCGGCTTTCTTGGAGGTTTTCACTCCTCGAGTCCTCTTTCGGCTTTCTGACTCCTTGCGAGCTTCCTCTGCGGCTCGCGCTTCGCTTTCAACAGCTGCTAGCTTCTGTGACACGCTCAATTGTGTCTCGTCCTCGGGAACCTGTTGCCATCAAGTTAGACCTCAACTACTTCTAATATCACTTGTTTGGAGCCTTACCTGTGACGTCTTGGGATCTACCCTTTTCTTTGATGGCCTTCGAGTCACAGCCTCAGATTTGTGAGCTTTGACCACCAAGGTCTCGTCTTCTTGGCCAGTCGCTACACATGGCGAGCCTTGAAGTCCAGGCGTAAAGGATACTTTCCGAGGCCCAGGAACGATATTATCGCTCCGTTCCTTCAGAGCGCGACTGGTAGGTTTGCGAGATTTTCGTTCGCGTGGCGACGCGATTTTGGTACTGGTAGCGTCGCCAGGCTCGTCTCGTTCTGCATTATATTTGGCCACCTTGACTGGGGCCTCCGCCTCTTCCTCTGCCTGTTGGTCTTCGTAAATGGGAGACTGCATGGTGGTATCGATCCCACTGTCGGCTGTGGATGCTTGCATCGAGTCGACGCTGAGGTCGAGTTTCAACCCCAGCCGGAGCTCCTCTGCTCGCACCGAGTCACCTCCGTCGGCAATTCTCTTGTGCCAGCCGTCCATGAGGGTAACGGCCTGTTTCCATCGAGTCTCCATCTTCTCCCATCCTTCTCGTAGACGCTTGATTTCCTCATCGCGGACTTCGACCTCTTCCAGAGGTACAAAGGAGGGGTTAGTGAGCAATGTCCTCAGGTGCTCGAGCACTCTGTCCATTTGAACCGATAGTTCCTCGCAAGATGAAGGAAGTGTAGTGACGGGTCCCTGGGACGACTTCACGCCCCGTGTGCTTGTCGATGCATTCGGATACTGCTCGTCTTCTTCATCCATCTGTGACAACCCTTGTAGATCCAGCAGAGTCTGAACAGTATTGCGCGCAAGCGCAATTAGCGTATCGTTTTCGTCGCTCAAGCTCTGGCACAGTTCCGTCAAGAATTCGTTCGTTTCCTGCTTCAGGCTGTACCCGGGATCATTGACTCCTTCTCCACCGGCGAGCGACCTAGATTTGGACAGTCGATCAACCGTGGGGTTAATGTTGACTGTCGTCACGCCCAGTCCTTCCCGCCTCCCTCTCTGTCGCTCAGCCAAATGTGATTTCAGCTTCTGCATCTCCAGGTCGCGCTTGCGGACGTCATTGGCGCACTGTGCGCGAATTTGTTGCACAGCGGTCTTCATGCGTTGTATCTGCTCTTTCAGTCCTCTAATCGTCGCTTCCGCGCTGGACAGGTTTGTTTTCAGGGCACGTTCTTGGGCTTCCGCCAGAGCCAGCGACCGGGCCAATTCCGACGTCTTCGTTTTCAACTTTTCCTGTAAATGACTTTAGTCGTGGCACTCTGGCCATTCGCACAACTCCAACATACAATCTCAAGCATTTTCTGCGAGTCCTCCGCGCGCAATGTCCGAATCGTGGTAGCGAGATTCTCCCGATGCTCTGCTTCCCGCTGTTGACGCTGGTCAGACACACAGCTCATATAGAATGGAAGCTCCCAATTCACATACGTCTCTTCTCAAGACTAAATCATTAACCAAGTTGATGATTCTCGCCATGGTACCATCGATCCCTCCTTCGTCGTTCTCCGGTTGAGCGAAGTCGATCGCTCGGCCGCTTTTGAGCAGCCCTCGAGCAAGGAGCACATTATTAATATAAGTTGATGCCGCCTGTATATTATGCGGCTCCATGGCTTGACCTGCAAGCTTTATCGAATATCTGGAGCCAGCGACAATGGCGACGTGGTGGTGATTGATTATTGTTAACGACGACCGTTATTTTCCAATGAGCAGGGATTATTCCAAAAGGGGAAGAAAGTAAACACCGCCATTGCTGGGGCTGTCCGTTCCGACCACAAGCGCAGCGGCGTCGAAAATGGCCACGCGCAGTTCCCGTTGCCAGGTTGATGATGCGCGTCTCTCTTCCGCGTCAGGCGGTGTGGGAAGTGGATTTTAGTGTAAGATGGCTTTATCTCGAGGTAAGTCGTTTTCTTAGATAATGTCGTTAAGATAGTCCGGCCTGGGATGAATATTCATCTATTAAGCCTGATAATGATGTTTGTGTTCAGTGGCTGAGATCTTTGTTCAATAGATAGTGGCCTAGGTGATGCCGCCGCATTACTGCAGCAAAACGGCCAGAAACTATATCAGCAAGGCAATTTTCAAGCTGCCCTTGACGTCTTCACAGAGGTAATTTTCACCTCACAGGAGCTATCTCTGTCGAGCCTTATGTGAATGACGTTGTTAAACTTCCTTTTGTTGTACTAGGCTTTGGAAACCGGCCATGGCGATGTCCTCAGTGTTTATGATAACCGTGCTGCCACCTATACCAAGTTAGCCAAGTATGACCTGGCCCTGCGAGATGCCAGGGCCATGATAAAGACTAACAAACTAGACGCTCGGGTAGGGTTGCAGTTCTCACATTGTACATGTCAAAATGTATCTCTATTGACCGTTGACAGGGCTATCTTCGATGTGCAAAGGTCCTGGTGTCGGATGGCAAACATGACAAGGCACTTGATGTCTATGCTTATGCCCTAAAGACTTTGCCGACATGCGATCCTCGTCGTGAGGTAGGCTATTTTCTACCTAACTCATGCCTTATTTCGGCCACCTTGTCTGGACTCGTGTTCTCAGACGTACTGACTGTTGCGTAGCTTGTAGAGCAACTTCATGACAAGTTGTGGAGCAAAGTGCGAGCAAAGTGCCATGATCCGTTCAGCTTATTGCCATTGGAAGTAGCGATGATGGTTGTGAATCATTTCGACTTCAAGCAGATTGTGTGAGTGGATCAAGACGCATACTCTATATCACAGCTCTGACTGTTTCTTTCCAGAGCTATTCTCCGCGTATCAAAAAAGTGGGATCGATTTCTATCGTCCATACGAAGTCTCTGGATGCGTATCGATCTGTCGGATGCTCGTGGCAAAATCCACTGGCCTTCAGTCCGGGCGTACATCCGTCGATCAAAAGCCATGCTCACACACGCCATTGTGAAGAACGTTTCGACGCCGTCTACGCAAAGAGTTTTGGAATTCTTCAGCAGGTGCCCGAACCTAGAGCATCTTGAGATATGGGCTCAGTCCAAGCCTGATGTCCTTTATGACCTGTACAAAGGCTCCAAAGGATTGAAAACTCTGGTCATATCTGGCCACACAGCCCTACCACAGGAGACCATAGGCAAATTCCTTCAGACTTTGCCACTTTTGGAGCGACTCGAAGTCCATGATGCGAAGCCATCTAACGTGGCTCGGGTGGAGTGGCCAGAAAAGCTCCCGAGTCTCAAAAGTATCACTTTTGGTGCTATGATCGCTGCTTCTGCACCGGACGTGCAGGTTCCTGCTCTCTATCTTCCGGTATGCCTGAGGTTTCCTTTTTGTCTTTCACGTGTAATACAATGAGTCTAATGCCATACAGCAGGGCCTTTCGACGTGTCTTGCCAATCTAGAAGAGCTCCGGCTCAGCTGGAACCCGCGAATCTTTACTCCTTATCATCTAAGTTTTGATGTAAATAAGCTTTCACGGCTGCGCAGGCTGGACTTGAGCGGCATGTATGTTGGTGCCGAATTTGGTCTGCCGTCTAGCCTCGAATACCTTCGCATCCGTGGAGGCACTGGGCTGGTTGGAGGTGCCCTCGTCCAAAGGGAATTTCCATTTGTCCACGAGGAACCCTTTGAGCTTCCAAATCTTCATACACTAATTCTCAACGACGTTCCTTGGGCTACAGGCTACACCGTTCAGCACTTCTGCAGCATCGCCAAGGCGCCTTTGAGAGTCCTCCATCTCGACAGCTGCTTCCGCATCACCGGTGCGCAGGTTTCGGAACTAGTCCGCATGGACGCTCTGAGCGACTTACAGGAACTCAACATTTCACACATCGCTGGTACTGATGACAAGTCGGCTGCCGCTATAATTAGCGCACTACCCAGCCTCAAGGTCGTGCATCTCTCATATACAAGGATCTCCGGCTGTGCAATAAAAGCTTTTGCCGATGCACGGAGCTCCGACGACAACGTAGCGAAAGTGGATCGAATATATGCTAAGTTCTGTGACGAAGTGTCATCAGATGCGGTCGCCTATGGACGAGCTCGGGGCGTTGAAATCATAGCATAGAGTGCTACGAGCAGGTCTCCGAGTATTACATGTATTCTAATTCAGGTTTTGCGGAACGTGTATTACTAGATGATCTTCTAGACAAAACAGAGCAGGTCTCATCAAACGGAACGGACATCATATGGATGGAGTTGGTAACACCATCTACACAGGAAAAGCCGTAGCAGTGGCAGGGGTTCGAGCGGGCAAACAGACACAACTGTGTAACTATAACAATCTATGGACATTAAACACCCCGCTCCTTGCACCACCTCTCGACCTCCCTCGCCAGTTTCTCCCTCTGATCGCGCACCATTTCCATCATAGGCTCCACCTGCTTCTGCACCGTCGCATCATACGCAAGATGGCCATTCGAGACAACTCCCGCCGCCTTCTGCGGCGCCAGATAAGTATCATAGATCGATACCATCAGATCCATCACCGCCGACAACTGGTTCGGAAGCCACTGCATCCACATTAGCTATGTTCTTTTCACATACAACTAAGGAAAATTACGAACCGTGACGATAGGGCTGCCACCCGTAGCAGTGGGATGCGGCGTCCGCTTGATGATATACTCCCTAGCAAACAGCCAATGGCGCCAGCGGAAGCTGCGAACGTGGTTCAAGGTCTTAAGAAGCAGGACGGTAGTCTCAGTGTCTTGGACGGCGAAGCTGCGGACGTCGACTTCGGCCGCCTTGGAGTTGATGTAGGCGAGAAATTCGCGGTGGGGGAGGGGTCTGTAGGCGCGGAACTCGTACAGGATCTTGGTGAGGGGGTTGAGGGCATGGGAATTTGGAGGAGGTGGTCGAGGAGTGGGATCTGGGTTACGTTAGTGGAGGTTGCCTATGAAAGGGTCAGTTAGGGGGGCGTACCATGCTGTCGTTGGCGCCGCTTTCTCCGCGGAAATAGAGGGGTTTGTTGTCTAGGACGCCGTCGTAGATGACGCCGTTGGGGAACATGGATTGGGAGGTGATGCCGAAGATGAAGACGCGGAAGGAGAGGTATTCTGCGGGCTTGGAGTTGGCCCACATGTCTGATATTGTTAGCCGTGAGTCCATGGATGCAGGCGGATGACAGTGAAGAGTGACTTACCCTCCATGGAGGCTTCAATCTTCTCCATGGACGCGAGGATCTCTCGGAAGCCGTCGTTGACCACGGAGCGGGGGCCACCTCCCTCAAGGGTATCGACGACCTTGAGGGCGCCACTGATCAGGCCATTGGACTCCTTGACCATGTCGACATGAGTAAGGATAAAGCCTGCCTCGGAGCTCTTGGGGTCGAGGCCGCGCTCAAAAGCTCTCACCAGGCGGAGGTTGTCATACACCAAGCCCTTGGATGGGTCCGCAAGATGGTAGTTGAAGAGCGAATAAGCAGCAGCATAGGACATGAATGGAGGGATGTCCAACCTGAACAAGGGTGTCAGCGATATAACATAACGGAAAGAACAAAGAAGACATACAACTGAGCACAGTGGTACATGGGACGGGCGACAGCCTTGGGCAGCTTGTCCCGTCCCAGCCCATACCCGTTCTCCGGGCCTTGCACCAGTTCTCCCAGCATGGCTCAAGCAGATAGGCCGAAGCAAGGAAAGAGTAGTCTCGGAACACTGCAGTAACCATGTAAAGGTCCCGGGAGCCGTCAGCAGTGACAAGCTTGTCGACCTCGTCAGTCAGGTCAGGAAGCTCGGTCTCAACAGCAGGGCCCAGTTCATACTTGGCCAGCAGACCGGGGGTGCCATCCAGCCTGACGACAGGCATGCGGTCCAACAAGTCCATTAACGGCTTGAAGGCATCCGGCAGCGTAGCAGGAGAGGTGCGGTAGGGTAGAAAGCCAGTGGAAGTGGTGATGGTGAAGGGGTCCAAGGACCGGGGAAGGGTAGCAGGGTCATCATGGATATGAGGGAACCGCTTCAGGGTTGTGGTAGAGGTTGGGGGGACTTTCATTTGAGTCATGATGAAAGTTGGCAGTAGGGAAGTGTGTCTATGTGTCTATAAGGGAAGGCAAGGGTGACTTGATATAGTGGATGGTTCTTAAGAAACACAAGAGGATCTATGATGTCCAACAAATGAAAGAAAGCGGCAGTACAAAAAGTCAGTTAGAGCAAGACGAGGCCTCCCGAGGACTTGGAATCCAGAGAAACAGACGGGGGATTTGGCAGGAAAGGAGGCGATTCTTATAATATCAGAGGCCGGTATTATTTCCGGCCATGGGCATGCCATTACGAAATTCGCGTGGAGTCATCGACTCTGTGCGTGAATCCATGTTAGAATCGTCTGCAAGCATCAAGACATCAAATACTAAGCTGATATAGAGATATCCAATGCAAACTTCACCATCCTTTGGCTGATCAATGCATCTCAATGCCTCAACACCATCTCTATACAAACAGCTGCCAGAGAGGGCACGATAAAGTCACGGGAGCACGCTAAGCCCGATTTGGCGGAGTAGACGCTCCGCTGGAGACGCATTTTTCGACCCTGGCATTTCGGGGGAAGCCTTCAGACTACATCTAGACATTATGCCGTGTGTCTGAAGACAGTTATCGACAAAGATACTGGCCAATTCATGCTTGTTGCTGCGATAATGCCATTGAACACTCCTTGTCAAGTACATTTGCCAGTTCTATATCTAAGTAAATGCCAAGATTTGATGTTACATAAAACATACTCTGATTGGCTACTTATGCCGTCATCCTGCCAGATTAGCGTTTTTTAGTCCCGTTAGCGCGATAAGAGGCCGGAATCAATCCGGCCTCCGAAGATAGCCGAAAATCTCACGTGATGCATACAGATAAGGTTGGAGATATGCTCACGTGGACTGAGCTGGGAATATATGCAACTGAGCGAGCGTTCCAGGTTTGTCTACTCGCGTGACTGACTGTTAGTCCACGTCAGACCTCCATGGGGAATATATTTCTCACCGTACAGCTCACCAGCAAATCAACAACCCCATTGTCAATGTGAGCACATGGGAACTCGTCAGCATCCGAGCAACGAATCCGAGAGTCGAGATTACACCTTTTTGGTGCCAGTACCGTATGGAAAGGAGCGCCCAAAGCAGCGAACGACTGGTGACTTACCCTGACAAAAATCTTCCTTGGAGACCAGATAGGCAGGAACTTCTACACTTGAAAACAATTCGTTGAATGTAAGCAAGGTTCCGATGCGACGATCACGGATTGGTGTCGACGAAGCAAAGGCTTAGATGTCCATTCCAATGGTGCACATCGCAGGACCACAAAACGTTCTTTGATATGTTGACCCAACTCGATCTGTCATGGGGCCATTGTGTCTGAAACAGGCTGCAATTAAACAACTACCGGGAAGGTAGAAGCTCACATATGCACTTGAGAAGCCCACCCTATTGGAAAGGCATACAGTAGGCCTTGAAGGATTGACCAATGTGATACAGATAGAAGAGCTTGCCTATAGGAGCCTGGATACTGCCATAAGGGCCGGTTCCCTCGGAGAAAGCTGCCCTACGCGACGGAAATGGCACGGTGTTCGTGCTCTCAAAGGACCAGACTCTGAATGCTCATGGCAGACACCGTGGACCAGTCTGTTTTCATGGAATCTTCCTCATATGAAGCAGAGATGATATTGCATTGAGACAAGTTCATGCAGAATATGTCTAGTAACTCTAATCGGTATAATATACAGTTCGTGACTAATTTACACATTCCACTTCGGAAACGTCGAAGTGGTATATAGTTGATTCTTACACAAGTTATTAGCTTCGATCAGAGATCCGAACATCAGAACTTACTGGACCCAAGATCATATGTCAAAGCACATAGACCCAGACATGTGCATTTGCTCAACCTGGTTATGACCTGATTTTACGGTTTCCATGTCACCCGCTTGACCCTTGAGTATCTGTGCTCGGAGACACTTTTTGAAGCTTTCGGTACTCCTCTTCTAGAGCTTTCTGCATCTGAAACTCGGCTTGTCGCTCCATTCGAATCCGCTGTTTTTCCATATCTCGTTCAACACCTTTGTGCATTTGCTATTAAGATACCAGAGAATTAGCCTTTATACTAGAGGGTTACTGAGCAGTCTCCGAGCTTACCGCTTTCTCTTGCTCTTGGGACCAATGCACAAAATAGACGATCCCAGCAGTACCAAGACTGGTGAGTGCTAGTGTCACCTTGGAAGCTCGCGACATTGTAGTGTCCTTTGAGAAGCGCACCCCGTAAACAGCTCAATTGACGATCTGACAATGCCTGGCAATCTAAAAAGCCGCATCGGTGATAATCATCAACGGCAGCGGTGTGTGATGGCAGAACCCCCGACCGCCTTGCGGGTCATTCGTGGCGTATGCGGTTCGGGGATCGAGCTGCCCATCACCAGCTCCACAACTCTACCTTATCTATCCTGAGCTCTGTCTCCCTTTTTTTTGATTATTGTCGCGGTATCTAAAGCCTCTCTGACACGATGGTGAGCTATATGTGCTCTATGATTTGAAGTATGGCGGGGAAGCTAACATACCTGATCTAGTCCGCCCAGAACTCAGCAGGCATTCAGACCCTCCTCGATGTAGGTCATACTGGGGTGATTGCTGTTGGACTTGGACTAACTTTCCACTGTTAGGCTGAGAGAGAGGCTCAGAAGATTGTACAGCAAGGTATGTGCCCTGTCTTTTTATGACTTCGTTAAGAGATTTGGATTTCAGGAAACCTTGCTAACCTCCTGCGACTCCAGCCAGAGAATGTATGCCCGGAAGAACTTCACGCTCGATTGACATATCTGACAATGGTTACAAATAGATCGCACGAAGCGGATAAGGGACGCAAAGGCAGAGGCTCAGAAGGAAATTGACGAGTACAGACAACAGAAGGAGGAGGAATTCAAGAAGTTCGAGGCTGAGGTGAGTCTCGGTTCTGACGATGGGTTCTGATAGATCCAATGCAGCGGGATCTGTAACGCTGCCTCATGATTGTGGCTGACTGTTGAACAATTCCACAGCACTCGAGCGGATACAAGAAGGCCGAGGAGGATGCCAACAAAGAGGCCGAGGTCAAGCTTCAAGACATTCAAGCTGCGGGCAAGGAGAAGGGCGGCAAGGTTGTTGATGACCTGATCAATGCAGTCGTTGATGTGAAGCCTCAGGCGTCAGACAAGATAAAGGCATAGGAGTTTGATACATCAATGTCTGCTGTCTTTAAACCCGTACGCAGTGGTTGCATCTGTTCGGTTTTTTCCTTGCTTTAGGGTCTTGAACATAGCTTCTGTGATGCTATTCGCATTAGATATCAATTATCCCTGTTTCTTCCCAGATTTGCTGCGTTTAGCAAGAACGATAGAAAGGTGAGTGCTCTTCATGATGTGCTCGATTTATGACTGTAGGTCGGCCGGGTATTCTAGAGACAGGGCGTCCATCACCTAACATTCAACTGACAATCCATCAGTGAAAGTCTGGCAATAAGTGCAAATATGCGCACATCCATATTAGCCCGTTGTCGGTCTCAGCGCCATGATTATTTGACAAGCATGGATAGAGTAGATAGTAATTTCTGCCTGAGGCATGAATCGCGGATCCACTTGCGTCATAAGGACTGCGGCATCTAAATCACAAGTAAACCTGTCCTCCTTCAGTCCTTTTTCTTTGAAACAATTAAAACCAAAGACAAATTTGGTAGATGAATATGGTACATGTTGGCGCACAATTGGATGCGTCTGCACAAGTAAAGGTTCTTCGCAGCCTTTGTAGGTTTCGATCATTTGGTTCCTCCTATCGGAGCTTCCACTCTTTACCATGCAGGAGCAATTCGCATAAGCATACAGGTTCGCATACTCTTGATCCTCGACTAGAGGATCTTGGAAAGGTCATACGAGACGAATATGCGGTAATCCGAGATTATTACGGTACGTCTGATGATTTCCTATCCTCCCTGTGTCCGAAATCGGCTGGTTGATCGACCTTGGTCATCACATCAGAGACACCAAAGTATCCAGTTGTCCTTGCGCATGGGCTTCTAGGTTTTGACGAGTTGCGCCTTGCTGGCCCTCTCCTTCCTGGAGTTCAGTACTGGCGTGGAATCAAGGAAGCTTTGACCCTGAAAGGAGTCAAAGTCATCACTGCAACGGTGCCTCCTTCTGGGTCAATTGAGACGCGTGCGGAGGAGCTGGTGAAGGACATAGATGAGGGCGCCCAGGGGAAAGATGTAAATATTATTGCGTATGTATTCTCTACTTCAATAGGTTCAAGAATAGCTTTCAGACTGACCAGTGTACAGACATAGTATGGTAAGATTGGTCCTTTACCTATCTCAGTCGATGGAGTATTCACAGTCGTCTTACAGGGGTGAGATTTGCTGTAATCAGATGAGACTGCTTTGATGATTTTGTTAACATGACAAAGTGGCCTTGATGCTCGGTACATGATAAGTCGTCTAAGACCGAAGAAGTTCAAGGTCTTGTCTTTGACAACGATTGCGACTCCTCACCGAGGTATGTTGTGTCCTTGGAATGATGCACGGTTATTTACTTAGATAATGCAGGTTCTGCGGTTGCAGATTATGTCCTTGAGCGGATTGGCGGTTCGTTCCATAATTATCCTATACAGAGAATCAAACTCATGCCTATAACCCTGCAGACGAACGGCTACCCCAGTTATATTATACTCTCGGAAAACTCAAGGTTGAAACTGGAGCCTTTTCTCAGTTGACGCGCAAGTACATGGAAGATACGTTCAATCCAGCGACGCCTGACGTTGAGGATGTTCGGTGAGTGGTCTGCAGTAAATCAATGTCAGCAAGGCTGAGCGTTGTACAGTTACTTCAGCTACGGCGCAGCGATGCAACCAAGCTTTTGGTCTATGTTCCGCTTGCCTCATCGCGTTCTTCAGGAGGTGGAAGGATATAACGATGGGCTAGTCAGCGTCGCTAGTAGCAAATGGGGAAAATACAAAGGTACCCTTGAAGGGGTGAGCCACCTGGACCTGATCAACTGGACCAACAGGTTAAAGTGGTTTGCGGGTGAGATAACTGGAAACAGGCAAAGGTCTGTAAAATCTCTCCCCGGCCTTGAGTTCGTCCACTAATATGAGCTGGTTTCAATTGTAGGTTCAACGCCATCGCGTTCTACCTTGACATTGCAGGTAGGAAGCATCAAATTTCTCGCGCCACCAACTTAGTTCTGTGGCTAACCATCGTTGTTAGATATGCTTGCTAAGGAGGGCCTTTGATGACGCTTAGTATGGCTATTGACGAGAAATCTTGATGCCTAGAGATCAGCAACTGGAACTGCTGGAATGATGCTCCTTTTTGTCCCGTTCTGGAAATTTGGCGATACCCGATTAGACTAGCGATTTCTATGACACGGCAATGACATTGTGCATATCATGTCAAATGCAGGTATAGGTACATATCTCGACGCCGTCCAATAATGATCAGCCTACCGCACAGCTTTCTGAATCAGTGGTAACATCGAGGGTGGCGGTGCAGCTCTATTTCCGTAGAATGCGAGTGGCTTTGCTCGAACCCTGGCCTAGGCCCAGAATAACAGCAGATCAGGAGTACCACAATTAGCCAATAAGAATGACAAAAGGGATGAGGAGTCGTAGAGGATAACCATAAGAGGACGGCATTTCTTCGTCTTTTGAATGTTTCAATTTGTGACGAAAGCGAACCCCCTTCAAAAGTGTGAGGAAGAGTCACTAAAGAGTGGCCCCACGCCCGCCTTTTGCTCTTCGTATTGGAAGAACGTCATATTTCCCACCATCAGATACCCGATAACTAGTTAGTTAGTCCATGCCGAAATCCCGCGCTCTTTTCTCCGTCTTACACTTGATCTCTATGACAACTGGTGTGAATCTAATTTTTATAAGAACAGTTTGTACAGTAATTCCATAAGACACACTTGTATCGTCGGGTTGGGGTTTCGACGGAGACTGCACGCTGTCGCTTCAACTACATCAACAACAACCACCATTTCCGCTATCATTTCATCAAGAAGGGAACAAGTGCCTGCTATGTCTGTAACCATCCATTTGGACAGGCCACATGCTCATTTCACCAATCTTGACTTCCTGACGGGTAGAGTTGTGCTACATCTCCCCTCAGAAGCTCCGATAGGAGGCATTCAAGTGAAACTTGAGGGAGAAAGCAGAACTCGACTTTCAGGCCCACGGCATCCACATAATGAACAGTCGGATAAGAAACGGACGGAGCTTGAAGTTCATAAGGTTCGTCTGTTCGAAACAGTAGATCAAAAACATCAGTCCGATTAACCGATTTGACAGATCTTGTACAAGGTTGAAACACTCTTCCCGACTCCGGCTGTTTTCAACCAGAAAACTCAGAATACATCGTACACGTTCGCTGCTGGGACGTACGAGTATCCCTTCAGATTCAAAGTGAGTATATGATTACTAGCTGAGGCGACGACATTGACTGACATGGTTCGAGTTCCCTTTCAACAATTCATGCAGTTCACACAACAGTATGCTCACCAACTTGAACTTTACCGGGTTGAAGGTTGAGGTGGCCAAGGATACGAATCGACACATTAAGAAGACCTTGCCTCCTTCTTTGAGTGGTTTTCCAGGCATGGCAGAGATCAAATATTATGTGAAAGCAACAGTCATTCGTCCACAGTTCTACAAGGAGAATCTGAGAGCCGTATGTGCTAGTATCTTTGGCAGTAGAGAATATCGTCATGAACAGCTGCTGACTTTTTACCAGATCACACCGTTGAATTTCCTCCCAATCGAGCCTCCACGAACTGGAAGGCCTAATGAAGAGACGTACGCTAGACGTCAACATCAATTCAGCAAAGCTCCTGAAAAAATCAGAACCAAGAGTCTATTCTCCAAAGCCTCCTCCTCATCGCTCCGGGATGTGGGAGGAGAGCCTCTCCGTGTCTCTGCAGACGCAAGGCTGCCGAACCCGTCCATTCTTACTTGTAATGAGCCAATACCCCTGAGGTTGCTGGTGAGGAAGGCCTCCGAGTCGTTCGAAACGATCTTCCTTCAGATGCTGCAAATTGAGCTGATTAGTTATACCCACGTCCTGGCCCATGATCTTCGGCGCACTGAAGGCGGCAGCTGGGTTCTTCTCAGCCGCAGTAATATGTCGATTCCTCTCGGCAGAGGAGGGGATCCCGCTGGTACAGAATGGACACTTGATCCGTCCATGTGGAATCGCATACCGTTGCCCAGCTCAGTTGCGCCATCTTTTGAAACTTGTAATATATCACGAAATTATGAACTCGAGGTACGAATAGGCTTGGGTCACGGGAGTATCGGAGACATGAAGGTATGTCCGGTTCTGGTCGCTGTGCTCAATATTTCCGCTTGCTGACATTCGAAGCCCCAACTCATCGTACTTCCCCTGAGGATGCCAGTCAAAGTGTACTCTGGAATAGCTCCTCCAAAAGCACTGCTAGATGCCATGGCTACTACTGGTCAAGCAACCTCATCTAAACCTCCGCCGATGACCGGCCATCCTGTGGATGATACAGTCGAGCGTCCACCAGTACCTCCCGGCCAACCGGTCCGGTCATGCCTACCAGTGTAGAGGATGTCTATGACGAAGCGCCCCCCAGCTATGAGGACGCGATGGCTGAAACTCTAAGTCCTGTGGATGGCCCCCGCCGCGAGTATAACCCACCGGATGCTTCTTCTTCCAGCAGAACCATTGAACCTGGAGCTGATTCGACGTCGTCAGTATTCCGGAAAAAGGAACGTGAGGCCACATCGCCGTATGGCCATTCCACAGCCAACTCGTCTTCGGAATCGTTTGACATGCTTCCTTCTACCCCTCCGGAGTCTCATTCCGGCTCACCTCCCACATCTCCAGTTGCACGCCAGCAGAGTGTGCTCAAGATACACAAGGCACTCCCTCCAGACGAGGAAAGTCCACCTCAATATCAGCAGATTGCTGAAAGCCCTACGTCAGCGCCACAAAACCGCAATGATAGAGGACAATCTCAACCTGGATTTCGTCCGATCAATCTTGGAGTACCCAACAGAAAGCCTGTACCTAGGAGTCCTGTGCCTCGGAATCCAAGTACGGGAGGCTCATGAGCTAGCTTGTCGTACTGGATGACGACGACCGGTCTTTCGCGTTAGGGAACGATCTCTTTCCGCGTCTTCGGCCACAATAGTACTGTCGCAACAGCTAAAAACCATGTCCCGACAGCTTTCCTCTTGGGCTGAGGTTTCCCGAGTTCTGTCTTGAAGCAAAGAAAGACAATAGAATCATATACGACTAATGTCCATCTCCACCAACAGCATATGATGCATCCGAAGGATATTTGGCCTCCCCATAGCCAGAATACCCCGTCGTTAAAACTCTACATAATCTTTGATACCAGCCCATATTTGCCTGAGCTGCATGATTACCCTTCTACAATTGTTGTTTTATAATTCACCGCTATTGGTAATAAAGATAACCTCGAGACAGAGATACACCTCATGCACTCTACGGGCAATGCATTTGTACTTCATATTCAGATCCTTCAAGCATCATTGTGGCAAAGGGGCCTTCACACGGCAAAGTTGATATTGCTTCACTCAAACATTTGTCACGTAAAATGCATTCCCTCTGCAAGTTTATAACAATTATAAAATAGGGAATCTAATCTTATCTTTCGGTATTCTTTGAGAGGACTGAGGATATGTTATGGGATGATGCCTCAGGCGTCTTCGGACCAAAAAGGATTAGCGGCAAAGCCTCAAAGAAAGAGCTCTCTCCTCGAGCTGTCAAGCTAGCTCTCCATGTTGTTTTCAGCTGTGCCGTCTTGACCTTTCCTCCAGTAATCGCATCTTCTTTTCGCGCATAACAGTATGTTTGTCGCCTTTACTTTCTACTTTCCTCTGTAACCCTGTCAGTCTCAACCGGCTGCTCTACCTATCGCAATAATTTTTCGCGTCACCGACTCTTACCGCTTGCGATTGCACGGCATCATCCTCCTGAGTAAAGGATAGCACGAATTAGTGCCGCTCCAAATGCCATATTACTAGACAGATCAACGTCCCTCTATCATTAGGAGCTGAAGGTGTCCAGGTACCCCACGATGCGTCTCCACCTTATCATTCAGCGTCACGGTCTACCCGTGACGCGCATTCTTTGGACGACATCACCGCCGTCAATGTACGGTCAAGCGACGCCTAGCTCCTCCGTAGTCCCTGCTGCCTCTTCCGTTATTGCATCGACGCGGACGCCGAATGCGCTATACTCAAACGGCGGATATACCGTCGCGCAGCTACTGGAGGATGTCAATGAGGTGGTCCCGTTGGAAACGGAGCCGGCGATTTTTGACAGCGAATCGAGCGGTCAGTGGGGCTTGGAGGATTATGCTGTTGAAGTGGGTGGCTCCGAGTGTCTACATTTCATGGAGGTCGATGGGCTCCTCAGAGATGGGGATGAAGTAGTGTAAGTTGATGGATCCAGCCTCACCTGCTACTTGTGCGTGTCGACTGTCATTGCTCAGTACTGATTTTTGAATTGTCAGCATCCGCGCCCTTCAAATCGCAGATCTCAGAGCAAGACGGCTCTCCGGCCGCCACCAGATTTCAAGCGACGGCAAACATCTTATTGATGGGGTTCCCTTTGGCCGGCCTTTCCTCAAACGGCAGACGTCCTCCAGGCCGGCGATTGCGATTCCACCAAGGAAGAAACGGCGCACCATGCTTGCGACTTGGGACCGTGATGCGGGCGATGGTGATGATGAGGTGCAATGGACTATTCCTGGGCGAGTAAGCTCAATGAAGGAGCTTTCGAGACTCAAGGCTCATGACGATGATGGCATTCACGATGAATATACGGATTATCATCATGACAACGATTATGAAGACTACCATGAGAGTCAAGAGGAATCCGGGGACGGGACAGTCATCCGTCATCCCCTCAGTGAGGGCGAGGATGACGAAGCTTCGGAAAGCGACGCGGACGGTTCAGACTTCGAGGCCGAAGACTTGGCGGAAGAGCTGGAGGCTCTTGAGAAAGACCGGGAGACCGTAGGCTTGTCTTCAGTGGAAGTACCACAAGAAAAGCCCACCGGGCCTGGAGGCTATCCCCTGCGGACCAGGGCCAGTATCCTACGCAACGCTTCCGGGCGCCACGCCAACCATCAAGCTGCGATAAAGAGCCCATCTGAAGCAGGTTCATCGCGACGAGACTCCAAAGCTGTGCGGTTCAAGGCAGCCCAGCGGCAGGCGTCACCTTGTCCCTCTGAGAGTGAGGGCGATTCTCACTTGAGCCCGGCCGAACAGACTTCTGAGGACTCGCCTTCCATATACAAGAGCTTCAGCAGCAGTTCCTCGAGTGATACCGATGATTCGGCATCGGACGATGAAGACTCGACTTCTCCTTCCGAGACAACAACCTCTGCTTCGGAGGTCTCTTCGTCTGAGTCCGAGGCAGAAGATGCAGAATCTGAAGACGAGGATTCGTCCTCTGAGTCAGACGAATCCACCACATCCGAATCGGAGGACGAGTCCCTTTCCACTCCCGCTTCGAGCAGACAACTACAGCCCAAGATGAACCCTCCAGGACACGGTTCCCTCAGGACCAAGAAGAGCAATCAACGCAACAAATTGCGGCGGAGGCTCTCAAAGCTCAAGGAGCTTGGCGCACTGCCTGCCGAAGCCGATTTCGCAGCCCTCCGAGAATGGGAGGCGAAGAATGGGGTCTGGTACGAGCCACCTGAGCACAAGCCGAATGAAAAGCGCCGAACGAACGAAGAAGAACAGGAGGAGTTTGAAGCGAAAAGGCAAAAGTTGCTCCATGCTCTGGCAACAGGCGGAGTAGACGTCGACGAAGTCACGGGGAAAGAGAATGAGCCCCCGGAGGCAAAGACGACGAAAGGGTCAGTGGAGGGGGATGCCGAGTACAATGGGGCCGTTGTGGAACCTCCTAACAAACGACGTACTCTGGATGTCGCAAGCTCCAGACGGTTGCTTTTCGGGTCTTTAGGAGTGCGAGCTCCACGGTCCAAGGAAGATGAAGAGGCCACTCGAAAGAAACTCGCAGGAAAAGTCAACAACTTCCGTGCCAAGGTTCCAGAAGAGCAAGCTCCCGCTGAGGAAAGCGATAGCGAAGCGGAAGCAAACTGGCAGGACAAGCTGTTTCTCAAAGCTACTGAATGTGTTTTCGATGACATTGAGCTTTCTACCCCTCCTTTCCCGTTTGAACAGCGCTGGGATGCCGAGGCTCATCAAATCATAAAGAAGCGCAAGGGCTGGGGGCGCAAGAGGAAGAGAAGACAGCAACTGCAGGTCTACGAGGCAGACGAGTACGAAGATTACGCGGAGGACAATAATGGACACTATACCGAAGAGGACATGCAGCTCAATTACAATGATCCAGAGCAGCCGCTGAGCACCGAGCTCACGAACGGCTTCGAGTCAGCGGGTGAAGAGCCATCAGAAAACACACAGGACGACCTTCCTCCTCTGCCAGCGGATCTGAGCTCTGTCCGGGATCTGACGGAAGGCGATTTGAAGCAAAGATCAGTGATCGCTTTCAAACAGCTGGTTGTGTCCAAGGAGACGAACTGGCAACCTACTGTGTCCGATTATCTTGTGGCGAGGATCGACGATGTCTTCGAAGACAATGTACTCAGGCTGCAGCTTGCCAAGCGCGATCGGCGACAAGTCGAGCAACCCGACGAGGATGACGAAGAAGACGGCACTCGAGGATACGACAAATTCGAAATGCCCGGCATGGACGATGATCAAGCGGAAGATGACGGTTTCCGAGAGATATCATTTGCCGATCTTTTTGATGCGAAGCTCGTTCAAACTGCCGATGTGGCAGACGTTGGGGGTGCCGACAAAGTCAGCAAGTCAGTACATTGATCCTCTTCCACTACTCGAGTTGTCTGGCGTTCATACGCTCACCCAAACCAAGCTCGTCCGTAGCTGAGGGCTCCTGTCTTCAGAATTCCAAGACCACCGGCGAGGATGAAACGATGCGTGAGGCCGAGGCAGTCAATGATAGCAATGAGAACTCTCCCGAGCCGTCTGTCAGTTCTCATGCTCGTGAGGGTCTTGAAATGCCTGCAGAGGAAACCGTCGAGGCAGTTGATCATACCGCAGAAGGGACCGGAGGTAGCAGTCCGGAGGAAGACGCCAGTCCTGTTATACAATCACCACAATTCGTTGGGTTTCACTCTCCTCAAGCGGAGACGCAACCATCGCTCCCAGAGCCGAGCCCTGAGCCGGAGACTCGCGAAGTCAACTCCGCTGCTACTCAGAATGCAGATGGGGGTTGATGATCAATCCAATTCCCTTCCGCAACCCACAGAGGCCCCCTCAACTCCGCGGTCTACTGTTCCTCCCAACGCCTTCAATGACGCCCCTTCAGCGATGGGCTCGGACGAGGACCTGCAATTTCTCAGCAGCCCAGACAATTTTGTTAATTTCAACCGTTTGCTTGAACAGCTCTTCCAGGGCAAGCGGCCGACCTCCGGCTCTCCGGGTCCGAAGAAAGAGCCAAGCGAGAGTCCGAAGATGCCACGGTCGCGGGCATCGTCGTCTTCTAGTTCTTTCGTGCCTAACCCATTCTACGAAGTCGACAAGGCCCATGAAGAGCGCCTGCGACGACGCTCGGAGAAAGCCAAGGGCGATGCTGTGACAGAAAAAGACGAATCAGGGGCGGACTCTGCGCCGCCAAAGTCGCAGCTGTCTACTCCCATATCCCGCAAAACCCCTACAAGCGCACAGCCGCAGAGGTCTCCTACGCCTCAGTACCAATCCCTCATGACTTCAACCCAAGAAAGCAACTGGCTGACCCGGCACGACGAGGAGTCTGGCACTCAGCCTCCCACGGCCTCGCAGCTCTCGAATATAGTCGATCTGACTCAGTCCAGTCCGCCCGTTTCGCCTGGCGGAAGCGACGAGGACTTTGCCAAATCACATCGACTGCCGCGAGGCTCTGGGTGGGTGCAGAAGAAAGTTCCGAGTACGCGGAGGCGCACCAGGCTTTCTTCATCCGGAGTCAGACGCGGACGCTGAATGACATGAGCATTCAGCTAGCCAGCCAGAAACATGAATGGTGGAAGAAAGGATTCGTAAATACCTATTTGCTGTGAATGTATTTTGTTTGTTGTCCATATGTTGCTATGTTAGGCGCTGAAGGAGTTGAAGTGTACATAATGTCTTTCGTTGTACCTATTCTACCACTCAAAATTTGCTTAACCTCATGATTTTCTGCAGCACTTGTTCAGTACCTTAATTCGTACTCTACCTCCTTCTTTCTCTGCATCGTGCATATAATATGAATCAAAAATGATGTCAAATCTGGCGCTCCTATCTTGCCATATAAATGCATGTAACCATTTTATCTTATCTATCTGATCTATACCACTCTGTGTAGTTGTTGATGTTTCCTTCACACTTTTGGTAGAGAATTGATCTTTGACAATTGATGTGATCATCGGCAGAGCCGGAACTGATATCATATAGGACCACATTATTCCCCATGAATATTGTATCAAATCCTGTTCTTGTTTTGGTGATATATGGTGGATGACAATTTGAGTGCTGTGATTGGCCAGAGCCAGCATCTATCACTACGTCATCGTCCATCACCCCGACAGAGAGAAGAAGCAGAAGCAGAAGCTGGGATGCATAGGTGATAAAAGGAGTATCGACTCAATCATACCTTTAGTCTACGTTAAATAGAAGAAAGGGAATGGATGCTTCCCGGGCATATGTTTCACCAGAGTTAATAATTCTTCCCTAGCAATAATAATAATAATAATACTCTCGTTCTATCTACTCTGTATTGATCAATCGTCCAACAGGATTCCTTATGCATTTACCCCTCCCCCGCGGGTCACGCATCTGCTGCAATTTATCTAGGCTCCAAGTTCCTCATTCTTCTCTATCCTCTTCTACTCGTCTATCATCATCCTTTTCTTCCAATCGCGTCGGCCGCTGTGCCTGTGGTTGTCGCAATTCCGCCTCGTGCTCCTGTTCCTGCTGTGTTCATCCATCCTCTCTATCCCCTTCAACCAAAGCTACTAGATCATTTACTACCACTACTTGGCGCACACTATCCCGCACATCACCATCCAGAATGGCGCAGGAATACAAACTCAAGGACATCTCGTCCCTAGCGGACATCAAGAACATGGACAAGGTCGAGTCGGAGGTCGAGGGTGTCGAGGGCGGCAAGGTCCTGGTCCTCCGATTCAATGGCCAGGTGCATGCGATGAGCCCCAAATGTACCCATTACGGAGCTCCACTGAAGCTGGGTGTCGTTGCTCCTGATGGTCGAATCACCTGTCCGTGGCATGGAGGTATGTTGGCCCTGGTATGGGAGTTGGGTTGTGTACATGCTGATCATGGTGGGTAGCCTGTTTCAATATTGGTAGCGGTGATGTGGAAGATGCACCTGCCCCCAACGCATTGAACAAGTTCGAGCTTGTGGAGAAGAACGGCGCGGTCTATATCAAGGGTGAGGAGGCCGCGATCAAATCCGGACAAAGGGATCCGGTGTTCAAGTGCAGCCCTTCCACTGAGGAGAAGGTGGTCATTGTTGGCGGGTAAGTTTTGAATTTTTACAGCGCCACGAGTCTACACAGCTGACGAGTCGATGTCACAGTGGAAGCGGTACGCTCGGCCTCGTCCAGGCCCTCCGTGAACTGAAATACAAGGGGGCGGTCACAATCATCTCTAGAGAACCGAACCTCATCATCGACAGGACAAAGTTGTCCAAGGCACTTATTCCCGATGCCGAGAAGATCCAGTGGCGCCCTAAGGAGTGGTACGAGGCCGCCTCCATCGAGACCATCTTCGACGAGGTGACCTCCATCGACTTCAGCAGCAAGTCCGTTAGCACAAAGTCCGGCAAATCCATCCCATACACCAAGCTGGTTCTTGCTACCGGTGGTGTGCCGCGCACACTGCCCATGGAAGGCTTCAATGACCTCGGAAACATCTTCCTGCTGCGCTTCGTGACCGATGTGCAGAACATCCTCAAAGCGGTCGGGGACAAGAACAAGAAGATTGTCATTGTGGGTAGCTCGTTCATTGGTATGGAAGTCGGCAATGCCCTCTCCAAGGAGAACGAGGTGACCATCGTCGGCCAAGAAGAAGCCCCCATGGAGCGCATCATGGGCGTCGAAGTCGGCCGCATCTTCCAGCGCAACCTGGAAAAGAATGGCGTCAAGTTCAAGATGTCCACCGGCGTCGAAAAGGCAACCCACTCCGCGACCGATCCCACCAAGGTCGGCGCCGTCCACCTCAAAGACGGCACGGTGCTCGCTGCCGACCTGGTCATCCTGGGCGTGGGCGTCCGCCCCGCCACCGATTTCCTGCAGGACAACCCAGCAGTCCAGCTCGAGAAGGACGGCTCCCTCAAGACGGACGAGTACTTTGCCGTCCCCGGCCTGAACAACGACGTCTTCGCCATCGGCGACATCGCCACGTACCCCTACCGCGGGCCCGGCGCAGACCCGGTAAACGGCACTCCCACCCGCATCGAGCACTGGAACGTCGCGCAGAATGCAGGCCGCGGCGTCGGCCGCGCCATCGTCCACGCCCTCAGCACGGGCTCACTGCAGTCCCTGCGCGCCAAGGCGTTCATCCCCATCTTCTGGTCCGCCTTGGGTGCGCAGCTGCGCTACTGCGGGAATGCTCCCAATGGCTGGGATGGACTGGTGCTCAAGGGCGAGCCGGAGAATGCCAAGTTCGCCGCGTACTACTGCAAGGGCGAGACGGTGGTGGCGGTCGCGACGATGGGTATGGATCCTATTATGAGCAAGTGCGCTGAGTTGATGCGGCGGGGGAACATGCCATCCAAGTCGCAGATCGAGAGTGGAGTGGATGTGTTGGCGGTTGATGTGCCGCAGGAGGTGACGATGTAATCCCTGGTCGAGCAATTCGTACATATGACGGTTGATCTTTGAACAATAATCAGGTGCTTCAAGATCGTGTATTGTGTAGGCTCATCCAACCCATCTATCAAGTTCCGATGCCAGTACGGCTCAGGACGGGCTTTTCTGTATTTCACTAGCAGATACCATGACAACGCTGAATGAATTTTGATTTCTCCCTTCTAACGCCAAACAAGCATTCAATATATAACAGATGAAAGACGCCGTGCGTCTTATGGTAAATGACAAGAACTGGATCATTTCTCCTCCTTTTTCTTCTTCGATCTCGAGGACTTGGATTTCTTCTCCTTTTCCGTCTTGCGCTCCTTCTTCTTGCTCGGTGATTCCTCCAAGGTTCCAGTATCTGCATCGGCACTGCTAATCTGCGTCTCCGGAGCGGCCGAGGACGAACCTGCTAATGCGCCGGACATGGCGCTCGAGGATTCCCACTGGCCTTGTGGTCGAGGAGTCATAGAAGAGTAATTCCCATTGCGCTCGTCTTCGAGGACTCGAGCTTCCTCTTCGGGCGACAGCATCGTACCCTCGATGCTGAGGAAGCCACGCTCGCGATCAGAGCCAGGGATGACGTCGATATCGACGACTCTGAACCGGACGGTCCCGCGGACGCGGTGGCCCGAGAGAGACTGGAAGTAGCCCTCGGCGGCGGAGTCCTCGTCCTCAGCGGAGCCGTTGTCAAGGTCCATGGTTTCGGAGAAGGGGTTGGCATCGGAGGCGAGCGAGATAGGCTTGAAGTGTTCCTTTTCCGGGTCGAAGTGGGACGAAGGCTCGGAGTCATCTTCGTCTTCGGTTGACGAGAAGACCTTCTTCTTTGGCTTCTCGCCGCTGTTGAATCCGTTTTCTTCCTCTTCTTCGCCGGGTGGCACCCATTTCCAGTTCGAGGGGAGTCTCTTGCGCTCGATTCCGACGGAGAACAGGTTCAGGACGACGGCGCCGAGGAAGCCCTCGGATTGGACGTTGATCCAGCCCTCGAGGATCTGGCCGCGCTGGGGCGGAAGACTAGGAATGTGGCTGTCAGGTAGACATACAGGACGCCGTACTCGTCTGCCGTCTTTGCGAGCGTTAATGGCTGCGGGTTGTCTTGGGGATCATAGGATGGGGAAGAGACGCTCGGCGGTTCGCTCGATATCGAGGCGTTGGAGTAGGCCAGGATCACACCCTGTAGAGGGGGTAGTATGTGAGGAGGAGAGGCGAGAGGTGCTCTGCCAGCAGAGAGGCTAGCGCATGGGTGGGCGAGATGGAGATGGGCGATAGCGGAAGGTAGAGAGTGGCGGTGGTCAGAACATAAGGCGAGTCGGAGGGTGATGGTGCGTCCTCGGACGACTTTTGCTTGCTCTTCCCTTTGCTCTTTGAGGACTTTTTGCTTGTCGTCTCGTGGACTGTTGTCTCGTCGGCGATCAGGTTGGCGTCGTGCTTCCGCTTCTTCTTCGACGACTGGTCCTTGTGCTTGTGTTTGCGCTTGCGCTCAGGCTCTGACACTGCCGCAGGCGCAGGGCTTGAGTCTACATCCATTGCATCGACAGCCATTGTGCAATGGGAACGCCCCCAGTCTTATCTAGTGGAGTGTTGAAGATCGACTCGCGGAGGTCGAGAACTTTTTTTCTTCGCTTTTTTTACTTTCTTCCCCGTAGGGGAGAATTCGGTAGGCGGTGGGTGAGGCGGTGAAGATGATGACAGCGAACCATATCGCAACTCCAGCGCCAGAGTAAACATCACCATCCAGCTTTCTATAGAGTTGTCGCATAATTGGATACGGCGCTTTATTGCTTGATGGAGAGGGCATATCTGCAGTCATGTCGTCCCTTTTGTCCTTTGTTGGATGGGCTGTGCTTCCAAATGTAGGTACTCCCCGCGGATGAATGAGCGCATATCCACCTCTTATCTTCATGCTCTATTAACACAGTTACGTTGCTTGCAGTATGTGACTTCGCTACTCCAGAATGTCTACTATGGAATCACAATCCGCGCCGGGGAACCGCGGCCCCAGCCGCCATCGCCGCGTTATGCTCGGCATCGCCGTCGGATTTTCATCCTAGTTGTCACGAGCTATCTCCTATACACACTCTACGAAACATTTCATCAAGTTCAGGTGACCGGCGACTTCTACCGGACTCTCGGTGTCTCCCCCTTGGCCGACGAGAGGACTATCAAGTCGCGGTTTCGCCGGCTGGCAGCTCAACATCACCCGGACAAGCGGGGCTACGGGGATGGTGGCCCATCCGACGATTACTTTGTATATCTGAAGCTGGCACAGGATACCTTGTTGGACCCTGCCAAGCGATTCGCATACGACCGGTTTGGTCCAGATATGCTGTCCTGGGGCGATCGGAAGACGATGCAGGACTTTCTGTTTGCTGGGCTACAGCGATCAGTACCGCAGTACGTGGTTGGATTTCTGATTATCATTGTTCTGAATTTTACTTATTGGTCAAACTGGGGTCGCTATGTAAGCCATCAACCGGGGTTCTTTCCTGAAGCAATGGAATCAGTCTACTAACTTGAATCAGTGGCGTTTCTTCACCTTTGCTGCGCTCATCACGCTTGAAGCAGCCCTGATCACTCGCCCTAAAGCGCTTTTCATGCCTGGATTCTATATCCCACCGGCGATTCGAAGCTTGCTGGGAATCTCTCCTACTTTTTACCTCTTGCCCTTCCAGATCTTGACGCTCGCGCAGCGCGCTTCCGTCACTCTACATATATTCATCTCCCAGCTGACGCCGCCAGAAGTGAGCAAGGGATCGTCGTCTGCGCCAGGCGAGCGTATCCATCCGCAGACGATGCAACGTCTCGCGCAGCTGACTCAACTCTCCCGCGCTACCGACGGTGAGGCGACACGACTTCTTCAGCTGGGTCTTGCTCCCTTCCGAGGAGACCGGGAAGGGGCTGCAACCTTGCGAAAGGGAATGAAGGAGGGTCTGGTGCTGAGTAGTGTGAGAGCTAGTCCGGAAGTTCAGCAGGCTATAGCGCAGGTAGTGGAGCGCAAAAAGCCGGAAAAGAATGGCAAGGCTGATTGAATTGGCCTCTCGGACGTTATACAGCTGTCATTTGCATTGATACCAGCGTTGAATATATTTTGGAAATATACAGCTACGTCTTTTGCGAATGTAGATAGTGCATCTACACATTGAGACGATAGACATACTAGAAACATACTCAAGTCTGAGGAATAATTACCATAGGCCATTCCAAATCTTTCTACAGTAGTGATAAACTAACTGAAAACATCCGGATACACGGTTCGCGAAGCCGCTTGTGCATCTCACCAATTTCCATGGATTTAAAGGAAATTTCTCATTTCCCGAGAGCTGGGCGGTTAGTTCACTTAGTCTGAGCTGGGATTGCGCAATTACGATTACGGATGCGAATGGAAATTTCGTTTTGCCCTCAAGTGGATTTTCTTTCTGCGATCGTGGATTCGTTCCGAATGTGGCGAGCCGGTCGGCGGCGCTGATTTTCTTGGTTCTTGAGTAGTTTCGTTACTTGCCCTTCTTGGCTACAGAAGTAAATTGTAGAGATGGTCTGTGGGACTGGGACGATGATTTGATCCTGTTCATCATTGATGGAATTGCTTGATTCATTGATCTATTGTGTTCAGAACTTCTGGCCAGGCACTGTATGAAGTTGATGCTTTTGATGCATCAGGTGAATGACGGTGGTGTCTTGTCAAGTGATGAGGTGGTGATGGTGACGCTTTACGGAGTAGCATGATGGTGATGCTTGTGATCTATCCAGTATGGGCCCTTACCTTGTAAAAGTCAATACAGCCATAGGACCATCGCAGTCCACAGTCCACATTCGACGGAGATTCTTATGGATATTGGATGGAATCCGGCAAGACGGAAGCTGTGGAATTTTAGAATCTAGTCTAGGTAACCGGGTTGATGCGGGATAGATACGAATCCATAAGACTGCACTATTTCGAGTAACACCATTTGGAAAGTAATAGTGTACTAGGTAGTCTCTGGAGTTGTTGGCGAATATAGAAAGATACGAATATAGTACAGTGCTATATATTGCATTCAATGAGATCCTGGTCATGGAGAGGGGTTACAAGGCGCAGCTCTTGAGCAGGATCTATTACTTTAGGGTGAATAACGATCATCTCCGGACGCGTACGGCGAGGAGGACCTAGACGGACTAATTCAATGATCAGAGTATTGTTACCCGTTGACAATGAAGAAAGTCAATGACAGAGACCTGGGTCAATGGATCATCTATGAGTTAAATAGGCATTTCAATTTCGCCCATCGCAATAGGAATTTAAGAAACACAAATGAAGGTATTATAGTACCCTATACTGAAATCATGCCTCTACCTTATAAGACCAAATAGTATGTGTATTAATGGTCATGGCGTGACGTGTAGGGTACTGTAATTTACACAAATCTGGACCCATTATCTGTATAACTGATTGGTACTAGACGCGTACATGGGTAATAATACCACACTTAAACGCCGGTCTGACATTCCCATACTCTCTCCCATCCATCGGCCTCCTCACCCTGACAATCGACCTGACTCTGACCGCACCGAACGAAAGTCTGGCTGAGTTCCCCTAAAAGTAGACGAGTGAAGAAGAAAAACACACACACAAACCAACCAACAATGAAACCACCACACAGCGCCTCGACATCCCCATCCCTTTCTTCCATCCCCCGTCCATCCTTCCTTATTATTCCTCCCTCGCCCTCCTCTTCCTCTCTTTCTCTACTTACCCCAATATCATCATCACCACCACCACTACCGCTCCCTCGGACTATGTCACCTCTGCTTCACCCTTGCTACCGACCTCAGCCCTGCCAGACTTTTGCCTCGCCCTGACCAAGTGTCGCCCTCCGCTTTCGAACGTCTTGGAACCAACTAACTCAAACCCAACCTACGGAATTTGTCCATCTGACACTCACGTCACGATCACATTTACCTCCAAATCACCCCGTGTCACCCATTTAATCGACACTGCTACTTTTGCTCTTGACGGGTTTAGCAACAGCCTTTGTCAAGAGTAAAAGTAAAAGAAAAACCACTGTTTTATCTCCCAAGAGAAAGACAACATCTCTCTATTCAGACGAAAATAATGGCGGCTGCTACATCCACCACAAACGGTCGTTCCAACCGCTCTGCGGCCCCCAAGGCAATCGTCGTCCTCAGGTTGTCGCCGGAACTGCTCAGTCGGTTTGCTAGCCCGAATGTTAAGGAAAAAGCGACCAAGAAAAATAGCACTAGCGCGAGCCCTGCCGTCAAGGAGAAGGAGCCCTCATCTCCTGCCTCGTCCTCTGCAGACCCTCCCATCCCACCGTCGTCAGTCGACAATGCTTCAGATGCCGCATCTACTCCTGCTCCTGGGACATCCGCCGCAGACACCCCTCGTCGCAATGGTTTACCGACTCCTAAGTCGGGAACCAAGCGAAGTGCTGGCCAGGCGACCGAATCTTTCTCTAGACCGAGGGGAAAGCCAGGTCCGAAGAAGAAGCCCAGACTGTACGTTCCTGTTCTTCTTGCCGTCCATTTGTCTTTCCCTCTTGCTAACTCAAACATTCTACAGTGACGATGGAACTGGCGATTCTGTCAAAGTAACCTCTTCCCGGCTGGGACCCAAGGCCAACATGGGTGCCATCAACGCCGGTCTTCGCGCCTTGGATCGATCTGGAACCCCTTGTCGCAAATGGGAACGGAAGGCCCTCCAGCTGAAGAGCTTCACTGGCGTCCAGTGGCAATTGCCATCATGGCGAGCTCCTCGACCACAAAAGACGGAGACGAACGGCGAGATGAAAGAAGCCGCTCTCGATACCGGTGATAGTGACAGCAAGGCCAACCAGAGTGCTAGCGGTGCGCCCAGCGAGAAAAGCAACTCCGGCGATATGGAGCTGACTCCAGTCCCTCCTAATATAACCGAAGCATCTTCACCAGCAATTGCTATGACTGCATAGTTTCGTCCAGCTGAAGTTTACTATGCTCCTCTATTCACCCTTTACTCTTCTTGTACATTATTACTCTGATTCCGCTTTTTTTTATTTTGACGACTTCAAGCGTGTGGTTATGTGTCTTGAAGGCCGCTTTTCTCGGCGTTGGCGTTTTTATGTCAGTCACACCTCGTTGCTGGTTTTCTCTGTTCTCGTCGTAATGTCCACTATTGCGGCATGGCAGCAAAACATTCTTCGCTGGATGACAGAGATGTACTCTCGATTCTTCGTTTGATGTGCTAGTCTTGATTAATCTTTGTCTATGTATCACTAGGGTTTCCAAAGGAGGGTATTAGGACCTGGCCTTTTGCACTGCATATGTCGGGTATACAGGAGTCCGTCGGATGATTGAGTCTGTTTGACTATGTTGGACATGGGCAATCTCATGCGTTAGAGAGAAAAGAAATAATTTCAACTTGTCATGCTTTCTACATATTGAAGATTTTGAGGATAATTCAATCTGCCGTCCTCGCTCATTCAGCCTCTTCATCAGTGGATATCGCCCGTCGTTGCCAGCACTATTCCTTCCCATAGGTCTTGGTATTTTGAGTGGAAGTGCGTACAGTATCGAAACAGCCCACCCGCTGGCCTTCCGAACGGTCCTATTCTGGTATTGCTGGCTATTTGAAGACAAACTGACAGGAGATTGTCCGACAGAGGGGAAGCGACTGTCAGATCAGCTGGTAGAATCAGCCAGGATTATCAGTAAAAAAGGAGGGCCCTTATTGCTGGTGCTTATTACTTATGTTCTTGTACATAATTGGAATGAGATTACTGATCCGGATGTGCTTAGTACCATGAGTGGTATGATGTGTACTGGTCAGGTCGGCGACACAGTAATGCATATATACTCTCAGCCAGATCAAGCATATCGTAGGATGGTCCTAGGTGGTGCACAGCCGACCTCAGTAGAGCCAGCAATGCCAGGATTGATGAATCAATCACTCGTCTGGTGACCACATCGCTGCGAGTATGTACTTTTTTATTATTATCGCCCATGTAGCATATACCACTACCTCCTCTTTATCCCATTCCAGCCCCAAATGAGAAGCCCCGTCCAGTCCGTGTCCTTTCCCCGCAGTCCTAATTCTTCCTTCTCATGCCATCATGATCTCGTGCGACTTCCCCTTCTCCGGTCGCTCCAAGCTCGTTCAGTAATTTCTCTCCCGTCGAACGGGTAGTGATCACTGCTGCGTGTTGTCCTTTCTTACTTACTATTCTGTCACTCTAGCACGGCGTCACGTTCTGGTTTTGATTGCTTTCTTTTTATTCAGAAGTACGGTGCTGCCTCGAGCTGTATCATCAACATTGATGCTATCTCCTATCTGCTACGACTTTATTCCGGTCGACGAGCTGATTAGTAGTGACGCTCCAACTGTTGTTGCTGTTGCTGCTGCTTGTTCTTGATTCTGCCTTCACGGAAAACAAAGTGCACCACTCAACCGCAAGCGACAACAGACAGAGCGAAAGAGGATAGAGACTTTGGTGGCTGTCAAGATAGTCAAAAACTAACTTATTACTCTACCGACCAAACGGTGATGATTTGATCGAGTGTCGGCTGCTAACCGTGGAATGAGCGTGGTACTGCCTCGAGAGAAGCTCGCGTGAGGGCCGTCGGATGCCCCCCTCGTCACTAAAAGTACCCGCCTGGCCGTTGGCTTTTGCTCCATCCAGCGAGACGACGACAGCATGACCGATGCGCCTTTTCCCCCTTCCGGTGGAGCTCGAGGAGCTCCTCCTCTGTCAACTTCATATTCCGGACCAAGCATTTCATCTATTCCACGCCGTTCTTCCTACGCCTCGGTCCTGTCCGGGACTGCCCTCTCGCCACCAAACAACAGTAGTCCTCCTTCCCATCCTCTTATCTCTAACTCCACTTCATCATACCCCCACCCTTTTACCCCGACGGCCGACTACTGAGGCCTTCCTCCTCCGCCTTGGATGCAGATATGCAGTTAAACTCCCCCTGGAGGACGACGCCTGGCGATTTGCTTCCTCCTTATTCTCGGAAGTTTGCCAGCCTTCCTCGATACGATACATTATTTCAGAACCCCGGCAGCTTTTCCGATCCCTCATTATTTACTCCATCCTATCTCCGCAACTCCCGATACATCGCTCGCCTCGAGGCCGCTCGCCGAACAAAGCTCGCTTCTCAACGAGATGTTCCACCTTCCGCTTCTACTTCAAACCCTCTCTCGACTTCCTCTAGCCATGCAAGCTTGCCTCGTATAGCTCCTTCCCATCGTGGGATGACGTATGATATCATCGAAAGGGAACCGCCGAGCGACGACGATCATCTCATGCCACTCCCCTCACGATGGAGCGATAATGATAAATACTCCGGTTTAGAGCTCACAAACGGGGGCTTGAGATCCGGTATCCCGGTCCGGCCAACAAGCACGATCATGAGGCTGCCGCTGTCCGTGCTGATCACCCCATGCCCCCGCAGTGTGGCATTTATTACTTTGAGATTACGATTCTATCAAAACCTAAGGAAGGGTAGGTATTTCGCGTGGATTTGACGAGGAGGCGCTGACAGTGTGCAGGATGATAGGAATCGGGTTCTCGAGCAGCAAAGCGTCCGTTGAGAGGCTGCCCGGGTGGGAGCAAGAATCTTGGGCATACCACGGTGATGATGGCAAATCATTTTTTGGGGAGAATCAGGGCCAGGGACGACCGTACGGCCCGACGTTTGGTGCAAATGATACTGTCGGGTGTGGTGTTAACTTCGCCACCGGATGCGCTTTTTTCACCAAGAATGGCGTCTTCCTTGGTATGTCGGCCGCCTTGATATCAGCCTACGTGAAAGAAACTAACTTTCTTGATAAGGAAATGCCTTTAGGGAATTAAGAAATTTAAAAGTATATCCCTCTGTGGGGATGAAGAAGCAACCACCTGTACACTTGGTCGCCAATTTCGGACAGCAGCCGTTCATGTTCGACATTGACGGCATGGTCAAAGTATGTTCCACAGGTATCTCCGCCGGATGTTAGCAGGAAGTCTGACTTTATTACGTAGAGAGAGAAGTTCTCCATTCATTCGGAGATCTACGCAACAAGCACGGCCAACTTACAACCACCGCTTGATGAGAACGCTTTGCTTCAAGAATTAGTCGCACAGTTCCTGGCTCATGAAGGCTATGTCGACACCGCTCGGGCTTTCTCAGAAGAGGTTGCTGCGGAGTCAGTGGCTCTGGAGAATGGTCGAAAAGAAACCCTCACAAAGTATGAAGTGGAGGAAGGACTTGACGCGATCAACCGACAGAGTAAGATCACACCTGCTTTTCTTTGATTTCGATTGTTATAATTCAGTCTGACAATTCGGCGGGTAGAAATTCGTGCTGCTATACTAGAGGGTGACATCGACAAGGCTCTCAAGTATACAAATGCCTACTATGGGAACGTTCTAGAGAGCTATCCTCACATTCAATTCAAGCTACGGTGCCGGAAGTTTTTGGAGATGATGCGGCGCTGCAACGAGCTCTCCTTGACAGCGTCGAGAAAAGGCAAAGCGTCCAACGGACTTTCCGATGGCAGTGCGGTGTTCGACCAGGAGATGGAACTTGATGAGCAGTTACAGGAAGGTGACGGCTGGGATACCGAGGGCATGGATACCGAAGAGTCCGAGAACTCAGGGAAGTTCCACGAGCTTCTCACCGAAGCGGTTCAATACGGGCAACAGTTACGCATGGATTATCCAAACGACGAGCGAGGCGGCGACAAGAAGGTGCTGGATGACATCTTCTCATTGGTTGCCTATCAGGATCCGAAACGATCAGTGCACGGCCACTACCTTGATCCTGCAGGACGCGTAGCTATTGCGGAAGAACTTAATTCTGCCATTCTAGGTCAGTTGTGCTTTTTTCGTGTGCTTCAATACAGCCAATTGCTAACACTGATTCTCTTACTAGTGTCACTAGGGAAGCCATCTTCAGCCGCTCTGGAGCGGCTCTATCAACAGACAGAGGTGCTTGTCAACGAGATTAGCGAAGAGGGCGGCGCTGGGGCGTTTATCAATGTGCGCAATGATTTTTTGCTTTAGGATGATTGCCGGCGATTTAACAAGAGCACCTGAATTCGTAATTTCTTGAAGGTCCACGGTGTCATACGAGAATGGAACTACAACCTTTCCCCTCTAATCTGGCGCATCTTGTCCGATCTCTGACCGAGACCCTGTATTGGTGAAAGCAACATAGAATAGTCTACTGAAAGGATCAGGCGACCATGTCAGACAGACGCATCGACTTAGCAAAGTTATTTGGCCGGAAGAATACCACGGCAACGTTGTAGTATCGAGCACTTGCACCACGTAGCGTAGGGTTGCGCAGGGATGTGAACGTGGTGGCTGGGCCTCAATGACAATGCTCGGCGACTGCCTGTGTGTCTAATAATGAAAGACCAAAAGTACTCGACCTCCTTGGCAACGATAACGCGAGGTAATGGGATGTGAACTCAAAAGAGTTGTTTCACCTTTACTCTGCCTGTTGGACGTTGGCAGATGATCATTATTGCTTTAATTCTGGCTACTTTAACAAAGACATATGCTGCATACAGTTCTGTAAGAGGAATGGCTAGTCATCTAGTAGTAGTTCAAGTGTTGCACGTTCCTTGGGTAGGTATCATGGCTTTGTAATATTACTGTACAATGTCTTATGAGCCTAAGGTAATCAGGTAAGACAAAGTAATAACAACAGTTCACATGGTTCACTTTGGCTCTCTCCGCCTTTATGCATAATCAACGACCCTGCTTTTCTTAAGTTCTTGTTGGGTAATATCATCACTGTTATTATTTGCTTATAATAATCACGTAGTACTAGTAACTACACAAAAAGCAGCACACCTATTACCATATCTCTCTATGACATCTCTTTGCATGGTCTATATCATTCTTCCCTTTGCCCCACCAACGTCTCAGCTTCGATGAACTGGCGCTTCCGCCCCAGGTCATCGCTCCGTCAAGGGGTGCCAGCTCATTATCTATCCAGTCTAGAGATCAACTGACAAACTCTCTTGGGAAGGTCGCATTCCTTTCCCTGATCTCCTCGGCCATGGATTCTCATCCCCGGCCGAATAGTCCGGTCCCTGCAGGGCAGGTTCCCTGCATTCCTACCCACTCCTCAACTCCAGCCGTTCTTCGCTGTTGTTGTGGTCGTAATGATTGTGCATTCCTCCATAATAATAATCTAGCCTTGGAGGGATTGGAAAAGGATCTTGAAACAGCTGCTCGATTGGGCCAGGTACGTTGGTGACTTACCTTTCTCTCTTACTGTCTGTCCCTTTGTGTCCTGAAAAGAGGCTTTCTACAAACGTCAGGCCGTCATCATATGTGCCTGATGTTTGGTTGTTATAATTGCGCACATACCTCAGTTTTTGTATATACGCATGCTTTCGCACATTCTCCTTCCTGGTGGGAGGACCATTCTCTTTCTTTACATTATTGAGCTTTTGACTCTGGAATTCTCGTCCATATTCCCTGTCCATATCGGGGTTTAGGCGAAGATCCCCCAAAGAACACGAGCATTTATTCTTCCCCGTTGTGTCTACTGCCTAGTTGCTCGCCCATCATGGCGTCTCAGGGACTGCGGTCCCCGATTCTTTCCCATTGTGTTACAGTCCGTCATGGCTGTCCAAGCAGATAAACCTGCAGCGGATCTCCCGTCAATGAACTCGTCATCGCTAACCTTTGCTCTCCAGGCTCTGCTCCATCGCCATGAATCGTACATGGCCGAGGCGGAGGAAGACCGCCGGCGGTTACTCGCCAATATTGAGAATCTGGAGCGTGAGAAGCGCCAGGTTGAGGCCGAGAATGCCCGCATCATCGAAGAGAACCGTGGTTTGTTGGAGCAGTTGGACGGTCTGAACAAGGCCGTCGCCGAATCGGACGCTCATGCCAAATCGCTCGCGGCTACACTAGAGTGTAGAGAGGCCGAGCTGCGCAAAGTGACGATGTCGGCCGCCCGCGCTGCGGAACTCGAAGTCCAACTGGCCCAGATGGAGGCCGAACAGTTGAGACTGCAGGAGACTTTACAGGTGGCACAGGAAGATAGCAAGTCAGCTGTGCAGCGATGGAAGAAGGCGGAATGTACCCTCCGAGATCTGCATGATCAAGTCGACCGAATCGAGAAGGAGGCCCGGGAGGAGCGCGAACGACACAACGAACTCATCCAGCGCATGGAGCGGAGAAGGGCGGTGGAGCGCGAGCTTGACGGTGCCGCCGGACGCTTAAAGGGCGCTGCTGCCGCGCAGGAGCTAGGTCGGAATCAGGGCAACCCTAATGTTGTCTCGCGCTTCGTTCGGGACATCCTCCAGGATAATGCGAATCTGCAGATGGGAATCATAGAGTTGCGGGAGATGCTCGAAAGCTCGAACCAGGAGGTGCAGAATCTGCGAGATCAGATCCTGTCGCATCAGCCCTTGACTTCAACCGGTGAAGACGATGAGCGAGAGCCGCGGCCGTCATCAACGACATTGGATCACGAATTAGACCCGAAAGAATCGCGCCGCGTATCGCAAGAATTCCATATTCACCATCATTACCATACCCCCTCCATCTCCGTCGGCTCCAAGAAGGAAAAGAGTGCCATCTTTCGTCGATCCAAGAAGAGACGGTCTCTGGGGCCCACCACAGTCATGCACTCGGCGTCAACCTCCCAGGCGTCCCGGAAATTCTCGCACCAGCACCAGCCATCCGTCTCCTCGACCTCAACTATTCTGTCTCAGACGTCGGTTTCAATTCCTCCTGCCGCGGCTTCCCGCCGTTGGTCACTGCGATCACCCGGAGCCGAATCCTCGCTAGCGAGCTCGCCACAGTCAGGGTATCGAGCGTCATCCATCTTCGACCGGGTGGAACGCGGTTTCGAATCGTCACAACCGACTAGTCCCGAAAGCACGGCCGTCTCGTCTCCGGTTATGGTCTCTCGCCACAAGAACGTCCCCTTTGATGTACCTTTCCGGCCTCTGGATGGACTTGAGGGAACAGAGAGAGTCGGCGATGATTCGATGCACATGGCATACGACTATTTTGGTGATCATACGAACTATGCAGAGCTGGATCGGATGCCGCTCCAGTCGGTGATACCCGAGGAGATGGAGGATTCCTCCTCTGCCCACTATGCAGAGTCGGTCTCCGACCGGCCTCCCACAATGTCTGACGATGTGTTCTCAACACCGCACAGTCCCACCCTACGCAGACGGCAATCTCAAGAGAGCCTCTTTTCCATTGCAGGCATGGACATCCATACACCCAGTCGGCGTCCTTCGCGGATCAGCGACCATCTTCAATCCGATTTGCCCATTCGCACTCCACGCCGCATCATGTCGCCTACTCCGGAGCTCTTCTCACCATCGCCCATCATTTCAACCAGCACGGTCACGGCGGATCGAGAACCACCAAAATCCTCCGAGCATTCCCCCGAAAGTTCCTCGCTACCGTTGCAGGCCGAAACCGCGCCGCGGATGCAGTATCTGCTGTGTCCGCGGACAGCGGCTCGACCGAGTCCACTGTCACTCCCAACAGGAAGACTTCGCTGAGTCGTCGGGTGGGAGGCTGGGTGCGAGGTCGTTGGGGCATCGCTGCGGTCTCTGCAGACAGGAATGCTAAACCTCAGGCCGAGTCGGATGCTTTGCCTCCGGAAAGCACCGCCTCGCCAGAAGCTACCCGTCCATCTTCTGCCGGCGCAAGAAGGAGCAGGGCCAGCTTCGACGCTGTCCCGAATCTGCGATACAGGTACCCGGGTGTCAACCAGTCAGGACCCATCATGGGCCTTCGACCGCCCCCGCGAGCTCCTGTCTCGTTGCATCCGGTACAACTGGATGAGGGACTTTTGAGGGAGAGCTTGGCCGAGTAATCGTCTCCGGAGCTCAACCAATCCTCATTCTCTTCTGGCTTTCAGTCGTCTATCGTTTCATCCTTATACTCGGCCTTTTCGACATTATATTACTGCATTGCATCTTTTATGACCCGAATGATGCCTTCATTCTTTGCATCTAGCCACGGATCTGGAGTACCGTTCTTTTGGTCACATTTTCCTTTACTTTGACGGTCTATATGATACCCCTACAGCTGCCCATTTCTTATGTTTCGTTTGCCTCATGGCGTATGCTTAGCTACATGCCACAATTCATGGCCTTACTCAAACCAATCTGCCACTTTGTAGTCACTTATCGAATGGGAAATGGAGATTGCCGCAAGGCACATACCTGTTCTCGTCTTAGAGGCCGGCAGTATAATATACATGTTCACGACAGTGTACAGAGTATGCGTGACACCAGAGATATCATCATTAATCATGTGAAACGTCCACCACCCAACGCGACGGCGTGTCATACCCCACGCCTGGATATCCGATACGTACGAATGGGAATACTAGTCGAATGGAAGAACCCCGTTTGCATCTCCGCAGAAGGAGACTGATACGGCATGCACTCCACCCGGAACTCGTTCATTTCTGCGCTAACCTTTAGAAGGGGGAACTTGCATCAGTTGGACTGGATCAAGGCAAGGCACTCACCACAGGCATTGAGGAACGTCTGGAAGGTATCCTGGTTCCGAAGCGTCGCTGAGATGATGAATTCCCGGAGGTGGTAGTTTTCGAAGAGGTCGCGGAGGGTGGATACGAGGAGGGGGACAAGGTCGACGTCGTAGACCTTTTTTCCGTTAGCCAGGTCTGTTGCACGATGCCTTGTATAATGTATATTCTGTGCATGTAATGCGAAGCATTGATCCACGGCCACGGGCCAGAGGACGATCAACATGATCATGTGCACTTACAAGATCAGCACCAAGTGCAACGTCAAAGGCCAGATCACCGCTGCCTGACACCGCGGCGTCGCCCTCTCCCTCACCCTCGCCGTCCTGAGTCAAGGACAAGGGCGTCCCCCACTCCCAAATCGCGGGATGAAAGACAGCAGGGTCAAGCTCATTCCGCCGCATACAGTCGCGGATATTCTCGATGAGGGCCGGCTCGCGGTCCGTGGCGACCACGCTCTGCACGCCGAGATGTTTCGCGCAGAACATGGATAGGAAGCCCGTGCCGGCGCCGAGCTCGATGACCCGGTTCCCGCGCACGAGGGCCTGCCCGGCGGGCGTGGAGAGAAACGAGCCCAGATGCAGGGCTGCTTCCCAGGTGCGGAAGCCTGTTGTTCCTGCGGAGAGGATCAGACCGCGTGATTCGGAGGTGATGATTGTGCGGTTGCTCCTATGTTCTTCTGGAGGAGCTCCATCTGATGCTAGAACTGGGTCTGTGTATTTCACATAGGCCAGTTGCTGGGCTTGCTGGAGAGCTGATGGCTTTGGTTGCGTCACGAGCGTGCTCCAGCATTCCATGAGATCATCTGAGATCTCCTAGAAAAGAGAGATGTCAGAATGCGCATGAATGTATGTAAGGATATGTCTACTGGTATCGATTTCAGAATTATTGCATACAAAGGGCTGTGTAAGCCGGGGCTACTCAACGTAACGTGGTACAGGGGGTTTTCATACATCCTCCTCAGGATCCGAAATGGACTCTTCCAGTATAGACAAGATATTCTTTAGAACACGAGCCCGGTAGTTCAGGGGAGGGATCGGCCACAGAACCGCCTCGTTGAACATTCGTTCGTAGAGCGCTGCCTGAGTGGCAGATTTGATCATGGTCCTGCCATCGGGGAATTCGAGCAGGTGGGGTTCGACCTGCTGGAAATATTGCGCGACCAGTTCGTCGATGGAGACGCAATTATCATTCTGACTATCATCCTCAACGGAGGATGACACAAGGGACATATTGCCTTCGACCGATATCTTCCATTATACAGGGCTTAAATTAGTAGTATGGAATGATACAAATGTATGGCCGGTCGGGTCAGGTGTACGCTAAACCGCAACAGGCTAGCGGGTGCCCTAGCCGAGCCCACAGCTGGAACTGCACAACGAAACGGAAGCAAAATTGAATCGCATTCGAGAAACCTGGCAACGACAGCAGCGACTTCGACAATCCCCCCAAACCTCTCGTCCCTGTCGAGTTTCTGCTCCTTTCTCGCTCGCAGATTCTCGCCGCTGGTGATTCAACTTTCTCGTCAATCCCACTCACCGCAATCATGGCCGACACTCCCGTTACCCTGCGGACTCGCAAGTTCATCCGCAACCCCCTGCTCGCCAGAAAGCAGATGGTCGTGTAAGGAGCCCTTTTCTTCCTCCCTATCACGCGCTTGAGAATTTCCAGGAAGAGGGTCTCTTCAAGTCAAAATTTTTTCAGAGTGATTTTGTGTGCTGGAAGAAATGATTTTGAGTGTGGAATACGCGGAACGACAAAAAGATACGAAGGCAACAAATGGCAATGATAATGGGGATGATCGGTTCATTTATCATCCTGGGATACTATCACGGAGGAAGGACCTGGAAATTCTCAAAGCACAGATGCAAAGGACATTCGTTGTCATGATGGTTGATGATGGATTTGATGCCGATTCTAACATCGACTTCTTACAGGGACGTCCTCCACCCCAACCGTGCTAATGTCTCCAAGGACGAGCTCCGCGAGAAGCTCGCCGAGCTGTACAAGGCCAACAAGGACCAGGTCTCCGTCTTCGGTTTCCGCACTCAGTACGGTGGTGGCAAGAGCACTGGCTTCGCCCTCGTCTACGACTCCCACGAGGCCCTGAAGAAGTTCGAGCCTCACTACCGCCTGGTCCGCATCGGTGCCGCTACTAAGATCGAGAAGGCCAGCAGACAGCAGCGTACGTTTGAGCCCCCGCCCACGTGCACCCTTGAGATTGAATCAGACATGCACACATGCCTTTCATATCTCCGGGGGTTACTCAATCAAGCATCGCTAATCTCTCTTCCCTAATCTACAGGCAAGCAACGGAAGAACCGTTCCAAGAAGTTCCGCGGTACCGCCAAGACCAAGGGACCCAAGAAGAACAAGGACTAGATGCATTCGGCTTGATCCTGGTGAAAGGAGTTGGAGGTGGACTCGGATATGGGGGCGGACGACGCGGCCAGGGGCTGACTCTGCTGGATGTGATAATAGCGGTGGTTTCGGTGGCGCATACTGTTACGCCCTTTATCATGACCATGACCATACAGACAGGGAAAATTTGAGATTTGGGGTAATTCTCTGGGATGAAAATTCATTTTCCTTTTTTTCTTTTTCTCTCTCTTTCCTGCTTCCTCTCTCTCTATCGCCTCTGGTTTCCTGAACCAGAAACAGGCATCCTTCAATCATCTCTCTTACCAGCAGCTCCTACCGCCAGTCACTCAATTCAGAAGCCTCCAACATCGGGACTCGGTCGATGTACTATTTAAAAAAGCAACAAAAGATCTGCTCCGGTTATTCCTTGTCTTTGTTTGCGGTCTGCTTTTGGATGAAGCAGATACTGGCTACGCCGTAGACTACTAATATTTGCAAGGAAGACATCTGTCTCATGTTTCGTAGCTACTAGTTGGTCATCGAATGAACGCACTTGTGGAATTATGCACATCAATACAACCCTCTAGTGATCATACCCTCATACATATTCTCTGACTTCGGCTAGTTATATGCAAAGTCCTGATCACCCAGACCAACATACATAGGCTAGCGTGATGGATATGAGAGGTCTTATCCGTCAATACAACAATATATATTTTGATGCTCAAATGCAGGCAATCATTGTCATTCCTAGTGGAGATCCCGCAGTCTAACCATAGGCATACTTTGTGCTAATCAGTCCGATTATAGATGGAATATGACAAATTATAACAGATAAAAGGACATCTCAAGAGAGAGCACAACAAACTCCCCCACATTGTAATAGAAAGAAAGAAAGAAAGGAATCTGCCACCCAGGCCGCTAGTTCCCTAACAAACAAAAAACGCATGAAATGAAGATAGATAGGTAAACATGAAAATCGCTCACCCTGGACCAATACTCTACAACCTCCAATATTAGTGTGATATCTCGATCTGTCCAAGTGCAGAAAAACACAGTCAGGCGCGCAGCAAGGTTTGACAGAGACTAGGATCATTGTCAAGTGGACAAGAAGTAAAAGACATGAGAAACACAAAAATAAACACACGAGAATGAGAAGATCGCAGAACCCTTCAGAGGCGAGAAGCAGAAACTAGCCTTTTCCGGGTAAGACTTCCATGTTGGTCTGTATATTAGAGATGTGCCAACTTCAGAAGCCACCCGGGTTACTCAGAGCTGAGACGGATGTTCGCTGTAGCTCGGCCGATGCTCGATATTCGGGTAAGACCTCGGTTGCGAGGAGGTCAAATGGTATGGCGCTATGAGTATCCGCCTGCCTAGGGCGTGTGTATGGAAGACCGTTCATCAGGGTGGCTGTGGATCCAGTATCGCCCGTCTCAGACCGGTTCTTGCTCTTTTCACTGCTGCTATATCCGTAGATATCGGAGCCACAGCCCATCATAGACATGAAACGTCCGCTGTCCCGGGAAAATGATCTTGTTGATCGGCCTTCTTCGCTTGCTCGAAAGTCATCGGTTGAATCCAGCGTCTCGAACGTATTGAGTGCTGTACCAGCAGAGGGGCCAAGGTGTGAGGGCGTTCCGACCGATGTTATTGGCAGATAATCGAACATCATGTCCGGTGCACTTGACTGACTCGCCTTCCTTGTCTGGTTCAGGGAGTTACCACCAAAGTTCCCGTTCGAGCCATGCTGCATGCTCGGAAGGCCACTACCCGAGATGGAGGCTCTTGTGGCTAGATGATGTCCATATCTATATTCCGGGGATAACAGCAATCCTGACATGGCTTCAGGAGTCGCGCTTGGAGAAGACATACCCATCTGGAGCTGGCTGCGGCCGGACGCTTTTGGTAATGTCCGATCAGCGCCTTGTCCATCTGACGGCGTGCATGTCATTGGAACGTCAGTTGACTGAGTTCCTGGGCCTGAGAACAAGAAGGGATACGATGACGAAGTAAAGGTATTCTCTGTATCTTGGGTAGGAAATGCTGCTCCGCTCTGGGCGTTGTTGACCTGGACGTTAGAATTCCATGCCTTGGTGTTCCATGCAAGGCCACAATAGTCAGGCACGATACCTTGGTGCGAACTGGAGAACATGTATGATGACGGAGGATTGTATGCAGTCGGCTCGTTCTCGTAGTTGGCCGTGTGATCAAGACTGAAAGTCTGTCGACTAGGTGGATGCTGAGGGCTGAAGGTACCTAGATCGTAACCAGAAGGTCGCGAGAAGGAGCCAAGCCGCACACCGAGGGAGTTCGTTGATACTAGTGCAGACCTTTGGGCCATATGTGCATACACCCCTAGCCTTGGGGAGGAAGAAACCGTAGCATTTGATGCATGATACGGCCACCCGGAATCTTTCGTCTGGAGCATTGATGAATTGACCTTGCAAATATCAGCTCGCCAATCTGAATGAGAACATATCCCTCCGGTAGGCTAGTGTCATCTTACCCTTAAGAACTGGCAATTCTTATTGCCAGAGGCCCGGCAGTTCGAACATCCTTGTCCATCACCAATATCCCCGCTGCATTTGATCTTCCTTTTGCGACATCGATTGCACTGCGAGTATCAGGACATGTTTTCCTCTTTCTGTCAAAGGCTACCAAAACTATACGCTACTTACTGCGACTTGGATACGGCGCCTGGTAGAGTTCCGACTTCTGCCGTCAATCTCTAGAGCAGGACTCACGGAACTCGTGCCTCTCTCCACCATCTCCTGCTGGCCGTCGGGTCCAGTTGAGAGTGATATTGAATGGGCCTCATGTCCGGATTGCTGACTGAGACCAACCTCGTCTCCGGACGGGTAATAAGGATGGGCCATGACTTCACCGATTCGTGTTGGATTGTTCCAGAGTCGGAGACTCGCACATCCAGGTCACGGCAGGTCCAAGGGGGTTGAAACGGCTTCTCTCAAAGGTTAGCTGGGAACTTGGGGGAGGTCTTTGAATTAGGGATGATTGTGTCCAGCATGTTCCGTCTGCCTCAGGTAGAAACTGGGAAAGGAACCGGGGAAAGGTGAGAAGGGGATGTCCTTCAATGGGAATCAAGGTCTGATTTTAAGTCAATGTGTGGGCCATAATTTCTATGAATGTCTGGGGTTGCCTTCTTTTTTCTTTTTCTTTTTTCCAAACAAAAAATTATCTTGGGCTGTTATTCCCACACCTTCTGACTGGACCGTTCGAAGGAGAATTATAGATCAGTCATGAGCTTACCTCAAGTGTTCTCAGTGACTAGTGGTGGCCAGGAGGATGGTCAATTTGATACCTGAATCTTCAGTCTTTTGTTGTACCAGGAGGGCATATGCAATGTCCCGTGTTGCATTTAGTTCCAATGTCAAGTAGATTGGACTCCCCCGAAGCACGCAGATAGAAGGCCCGACAGCCAGAATCAAAGGCGTTTTAGAGGTTCTGTTTCACAGAGTAACGTTGCACGAGACGAACATGACCTGATGGTAACCACAGAAGGGCCTAGGACTCTGGGCTGGAGGACTTGGAGCTCTCTGCGCAAGATCCCCAATCAATTGCCACCAAAAGGACAAGAAGCTCCACCTTAATCTTCACCTCCAGGAGGTTTGTCTCAGGAAGACGATATACTTCCTCTCCCCAAGAGCACATAAAGCGATATGCCAAATCAAGATGAGAACTTAGGTTGTTGCGGAGCGGACAGCCGCGGATTACGATGGCATAACCTCCAAAGAGCAGTATCTATCTAGTCTCCCGAGCTTGAAGAAAGAATAAAGAAGCATGTTTGCCCGTTGAGATAGAGTTGCTGGTTGGAAATCCTATTGGCCAGGCTTTGCGAGTATTTAGCATCAAACAAACATATTCTGGGAGGTCAAAACTCTGCCAGTACTTTTGACATCAGTCTCTAATCTGAGTCAAGTGTCGAGAATGGCTGCAGTCGCGAGCATTCATTTGAAAGCATATGAATGTCTTTGCGCGGATGTGGAAACGGTTGCCTTACAGACTCGCGCTACACGCAAACGCATAGTCTTAAGGAGCTCAGTTTGATGTCTCGGATAGCTCGATTCCTAGACATCCAGCATGGTCCGGACCAATGCTTAGGCTTGAATCGACGTGATCGAGCCGCACAAGGCTAATAGGAGCTCAAGACCATGACTGAATGAATCAGGGAAAGAGAGACTTGGGATCAAAGGCAGACTTGGCATGATTCCCAAGTCAGTGGCGCTGTATGATTACCTAGCAGTGGCTGGGCAGTCCCCTTATGTCTGCAAGTCCTTCTCGAACACTGGACAGGTCGAAATCAAGAAGCGGAGTCAAAGGAAACAAGAAAGAGGGGACAGGGTTCTTAGACCACCAGAGAATCCAAGAACACAATAACAAATCACAGAATGATTATGCAAACTCGGCTTTTGGTCAAACAAGAAAATAGCAGGGGCGTGGGGCCAAGGGACGATTTAGTATGCACGAAGTTCAGGGGTTCATGGAAGACAGTATCTTCTCAGACTGGCACAGCCTGCTAATGCCTGGCTGGCAACCCACACGAACAAGTTTTTGCACTGCAATCCATTCCTTAACTGGAACAGTCTCATTCTGATCATGTCAGTATAGCAAAGTCCCAATAGACTACTTCTCAAAGCAGGAAAATAGTCTTGATTGCCATTTTGGGATTCAGCCTCCAACAACAGAATGTTTGTCCTGTCTTGCTTCTATTTAGTGTTTTGTTTCCTTCAATCCGATTGACCGAACAGAACCATGCTCAAGTAGGTTTCGAGCCTGAGCTTGCGGATGCTGCACCAGCAGTTCATTCGCCAATGCGACGTGGTCGGGTAAAGAGACTTCATTTCCGGACGTTAGAATTAGAATCAGAGGGAGGGAATGTAAAAAGCTTGTGCATTGTCTCCTGTAGAAAATCAGGTCAAAATTGACCGCTGTTGGGATTGGGACCAGCCACAAGATGACAGAAGTTAGTGAAACTTCTCAATAGCTCCTTGTTTCGCTCTCAAAAACTAGTCACAGCCTGTCCCAAAGTGGGAGTAGGTCCACCAACATCCACGTGCTTTTTTGAAAACGAACACCCTGCCATTGCTGTTTTTCCTTTTTTCCAGGGAGCGACTCATTGACGCTGTAGGCTCTAGTACTGCAGAACATCCGGTTGTCGTTCCTTCTTTTCAACGCCTCTGCTGTGAAACTCGCACCGCAAAGAAGCAGAACAGAGTGGTACATTAGCATTGTCTCTAGATTTTGTAACCTGACGAATAATGACAATTCCATCGTAGGATTAGGTTGTCATTTCTAAGTAGATTTCCTGTCAATGAAGAATTCCAGTTGGAGCCAAACGACTGCGTCTCCAAGCCATCTGGATCGACAGTACTGAATGAGTTGCAGCAGCAAACAGTGACTGACTCTGGCCCGCAAGTTAATCTGAATCCCCGAGGGTCCCCCGGATGATATGCCGCCGATTCAAATAGGAAATGGGTTACACGAGAAGGCACCGGATGAGGCCTCCATCGACGTCTCATCGATCGTGAAGAACTAGGATTGCTGCAATGGTCGCCAAAGGCGACAAGGTCCCATCCCCGGGTGATAGACTAATGCGTGGTGTGTGGTAGATGGACAGTAGCTTGAGGATCGACGCAGGTATGTAGTGTGGATTGACTTTCTTTCGGAGGCGGGTCGGCCGCGAAAGTTGCACCTCACCTTAGTTTCACGCGCGCCCTGCAAATCACCTCCAACTCGTCACTCATTCTACCTACCTGTATCCATTTTCAGTCCCCCTCGCACACCGACTTTGATCCTTGGGTCTTTAACTTATTTATCTGCGCTAGCTATCAGCCATACCCTTGTCACTTCTAGTTCTTCACCGTTTCCTGTTCTAGCTACCTGCCGAGCGAGCGCATCGTCGATCTTTGCGACATCGACTGCAGCCGCTAGTAGAGCATCATGAGCGTACTTTTGGAGACATCTCTTGGCGATATTGTCATTGACCTTCTGGTTGATGAGTCGCCTAAGGCATGTGAAAAGTAGGTCGTCCCAACACTCCCATTCTTTGTTTGTGGTGATTTCTTTGATCTGTGCCTGTTACTTGTTACAATGTCGAGTGGCTGAACTAGAAACTAAGCAATCCATTTTCTGCCGATATAGCTTCCTGAAGCTATGCAAAGTCAAATATTACAATTTCTCGCCAGTTCATAGCGTTCAGAAAAACTTCACCTTCCAGACTGGTGATCCTCTCGGTCCCGATTCCCCGGAAAGCGATGGCGGGTCGTCGATATGGGGCTTGTTGGAAGGCCCCGTCAAGAGAACATTTCCCTTAAAGCTGTCGCCGAAGCTGAAGCACACCGAGCGCGGAACCGTCAGTATGGCAACAGTACCTTCCTCGCATGATCCCGACGAGCGCCTCGCTGCCAGTCAATTCATCGTCACGCTTGGGGATAACCTGGACTATCTGGATGGGAAAGCAGCGATCTTTGGGAAAGTTGTGGAGGGCTTCGATGTGCTTGAAAAGATCAACGGAGCCTTTATTGACGACCGAGGTCGCCCGCTAAAAGACATCCGTATCCGCCATACAGTCATCCTCGATGACCCTTACGATGATCCTCCTGGCTTAGTGGTGCCAGCTGAAAGTCCTTTGCCTTCAAAAGCACAGCTAGCGACTGTAAGGATTGCTGACGATGAGGATCTGGATGAAAACATGGATGAGGAGGCGATGGAAAAGCTACGGCGAGAGCGCGAGGCCAGAGCGCAAGCATTGACGTTGGAAATGGTTGGTGATCTTCCATTCGCAGAGGTCAAGCCTCCAGAGAACGTGCTCTTCGTTTGCAAGCTGAATCCTGTTACGCAAGGTATTTATCTTTTCCCCATTTTGGTAGAATGGGTCGCCGCTAACTGCGAGTTCAGATGAGGATCTTCAACTGATCTTCAGTCGGTTCGGGCCGATTCTGTCTTGCGAAGTCATCAGAGATAAACGAACCGGTGACAGTCTACAGTATGCTTTTATCGAGTTCGAAAATCAGAAGGATTGCGAACAGGCTTACTTCAAGATGCAAGGAGTTCTGATCGACGATCATCGGATACATGTTGATTTTTCGCAGAGTGTGAGTCTGGTTACGAGCACTTCTCTTTGAACACTCTCTAATAAGGACATTACAGGTATCAAAGCTGTCAGAAAGCTGGCGAAATGCCACCATATCTAAACGCAGCCAGAGAGGCGGCTTCGGTGGCGTAGCTGAGCTTGAGAAGAAGCGGCAGTATCGGGCGACTGACAACGTCCGTGAGCGGAATGACTATGGCATGGTTTTCGATAAAGGTGAAGGTAGAAGGCGGCCGGCTTCTCGAGAGCAACGTTACAGTCGGAGTCCCAAGAGAAGCTCCTATCCGGACAGAAAAGACAGTCGCAGCCCCAGACGGGATTCGCATCGGAACCGGTACCGCAGTAGATCTGACAGTCGAAGTCCTCGGCGGGAAGACTCCTATCGCGATAGAAATCGTGAAAGGTCCTACAATGACGAGGGGCGTGATCGTCGCGATGATGACCGATATCGAGAAAGGCGCCGTCGCTAGTCTCTCTATCGGGAAGAGATGAACTATTGGAAGCGATATACGAGTCGCCCTACGTCAACGGCGACACGGTATCTTAAAATTTAATCATGCTGCTTGATTGTCTGGAGTTTTGTTCATAACGCGGAATGTAATTTTAGCCTTCATATCAGATCAATTTACCCGACCTATATTAACTCGTTCATCGACATGGAATTGTACCTTGACCCCTAAAGGGCCTCTTCCTCTCAGGAAACATAGATACGTCGTGTGGCACTAGAACTAGTACCTTCTTTTCTCCTGCCTATTATTATTTATCCATTGGCCACTAGTAGGTGAAACTGGGTCTGCCGATGGTTTGCCCCACCGTGAAGGACCCAGAGGTCCAAAGAGCCATTCAGGGAGCTCGAATCGAGACAACCAGAGCTGATATTTATATCATTCGTAGAACTGGGTTAGCCATGCCAGCTAAAAATAATACTACCAGGAGATCAATGGTTTCGTCTTCCTGGCGGTCAGCGGATGGTGAAATACCGAGGGGTAGATAGAAGTTAAAGGCCGAACATCCCAAGCTTCAGCTCAAGTTTCAACTACACCCCGCACTCTTCGAAACAAAACCTCCCCTCTCTTTCTCTCCTTATTTCTCCTTCTCAACGTCCCTCTTCGTTGATACCCTCTTTAAGACTTAATCATCAATATGGCTGCAGCTATCAAAGAGACAGTCTCCAACTTCATGGAGAGATTCCATGGTCATCCAGAGAACCTTCCCCGTGAACCATCTGCTGAAGAGTTCCAGCAGCTTAGACAAAAGTACACCGATGCAGGCCAGGGACATGTCTTCGCATTCGTTGACGAATTACAAACCGTCGAGAGGTCCCAGCTCTTCCACCAGTTATCAAACTTCGACCCTATCCGAATTAACGAACTCGCCGACAAGGCTCTGAACCCTCCCAAAGCACAAGATGGGCCCGCTTCGCTTGAACCCCTGCCGGATGTCGCCACTGCTTCGATTCTCGACTCAGATCCCAAGGATATCGAACAATGGTATGAGGAGGGGCTCAAACTTGTGGCGGGTAACAAGGTTGCGGTCGTCCTGATGGCAGGTGGACAGGGAACCCGTCTGGGAAGCTCCGCGCCGAAGGGCTGCTTCGACATCGGGCTTCCTAGTCACAAGTCGCTTTTCCAGATCCAGGCGGAGAGGATCGCTAAGCTCCAGCTACTTGCTCAGAAGATTTCAGGCAAGGAGGCTGTCATCCCTTGGTATGTCATGACCAGTGGACCTACCCGCAAGCCAACGGAGGAGTTCTTCGAACAACATAAATACTTTGGATTGAACAAGAGCGATGTCATCATCTTTGAGCAAGGCGTCTTGCCATGCATCTCCAACGAGGGTAAGGTCTTGATGGAGAGCAAGTTCAAGGTACGTTTCGCAGTCGCATACTAAAGCTATGCTGCGCTTGTCGGGCTCTGACATGGAGAAAATAGGTCGCTGTTGCTCCTGATGGAAACGGTGGTATCTACCAGGCCATTCTTACATCTGGTGTGCGAGAGGATATGCGCAAGCGGGGAATTGAGCATATTCACACTTACTGTGTCGACAACTGCCTTGTGAAGGTGGCGGATCCTGTGTTCATTGGTTTTGCCGCATCGAAACAGGTTGATGTCGCTACAAAGGTAGTCCGGAAGCGCAATGCCACAGAGTCGGTCGGTCTGATTCTGCAGAAGAACGGCAAGCCTGATGTGGTCGAGTACTCTGAGATCGACAAGGAGACGGCGGAGGCCAAGGATCCCAAACAGCCTGACGTGCTCAAGTTCCGTGCCGCTAACATTGTCAACCACTACTACTCCTTCAAATTCTTCGAATCCATCGAAACTTGGGCACATAAACTCCCTCACCATGTCGCCAGAAAGAAGATTCCTTGCATCAAGGAGGATACTGGCGAGTTCTTCAAGCCGGAGAAGCCCAACGGTATCAAGCTGGAGCAGTTTGTCTTCGATGTCTTCCCCATGACTCCCTTGGAAAAGTTCGCTTGCATCGAGGTTCGTCGTGAGGATGAGTTCTCACCATTGAAGAACGCGAGAGGCACTGGGGAGGATGACCCCGATACCAGCAAGTGGGATATTATGAGCCAGGGACAGCGCTGGATTGAGAAGGCGGGCGGCATTGTGATTACTGAGGGTGATGCCGTTGGTGTTGAAGTATCTCCATTGATCAGCTATGTAAGTTACTCCCTCCCCCTTCATTTCCAGTCATTTTGAAGAATCCTGTCGCTGATCAGGGCAAATTTCTATAGGGCGGAGAGGGCCTTGAATTCCTGAAAGGGCGCGAGATCAAAGCACCAGCCTTCATTGAAAAAGAAGAATAAAAGAGCCATGTTGTTTTTCTTATCATTTCCTATCAGATTATTGACAGGTATATCTTCGTCCTTTGCATCAGTATGTCGTACACAACCGAAGCCGTTTACTCATATGTGGGTCTCACTATCCGGTATGCTGGATTGCTGACCGCAGCCGGTGAGCTTCCTAACTAGAGATTTTTTCTTCTCAGTTTCCATCGGCCGGTATCAATGGTTGCATTATGAGAATGTTCCTAGTTTATTTTGCATCGCGATGAATCTCCCAGGAATGGAGAACATCCGCTACAGCAGCTGCTCGTCAGTAGCAGCAGTTGTGTAATCTCAGAATCCTTAGCCGATAAATACAGGCAGTTACGTTACTCTGACAAAGGTATCTGAGAGTTATCCATCTCATTATTAACAAAAGACAAACCAAAAAATATACTAGTACTTTCTATATAAAAGCGCAGAGAAGCTAGCTTTAGGAACGTGTGCCTCAGGCCGTGCGAAATCTGGGGAGTTTGCAACCTTACGCAATGCGGAAAAGCCCGGGAGCTAAAGTTTTTCATGTTTTGCCCTGAGAAGAAAAGCCCTGCGAAAAGCGCATGGTCGCTGTCTTGCTTGGCTAAATCGCTTGTTTCAATTCAGTAACTATCTTCTTTTACCTCTCTTTGTGCATTACCAGAAATATAAGGTTCTTTCGATCTTTCTTTCGTTCCTCTTGTGGTTTGGAGGGATTGGAGTGCTGTGAGGGTTCAGTTTGAGCTGCATTGTAAGTTTAACCTTTTTTTGTGTGTGTCTCTCTTTGGGTGTTGGTCGCTTTTTCTTTGTCAGCCCACTTTTTTCGAGTTGAGAGAATAGTGGGCTGTTGGAAGCGCTGCGCATCCTCCAAGGTTCTCAAGCTGACAGCCAAAATAGACCTTTTGAGAAGGAGATTGAAGATCGTTGGTTTCAGAAGAGTGAGTCTATTATATAAATTGTCTTCGTGACCCGGCCTTTGTTTGGCGTGCATGGACTGGCTCGTCGCTGCTATGTTCCCTTCGGAGATAGTGTCGCATTGTCGTTGACTTGCCAATCTCATACTGGGAGAGATTGGACAACGATGTGTCGGGCCCGACAGCATACACTGCGACTTTGTTATTACAATAAAGTTTGAGATCGTCTCCGAAGCTTCGAACTGCTATGCATCATACATCATACATCGGCCACAATCAATGCGCAACAGACGCCTTCTGCAGCGGGGTTTCTGCAATGGCATCAGCGGGACTGACGGGAGAATTCTTATATAGCTTAAACTACCGGAAAGATGTTGCTGTCTCGTCGTGCCTGCTACAAGTGTGGCAACATTGGTCACTATGCTGGTTAGTGCAAAGCCGGAGAGAAGAGTTTTGGACTAGGAGGATTGTCGCTAACTGACGTAGAGGTCTGCTCCTCGTCCGAGCGTCTCTGCTACAACTGTAAGTGCTTTGGTTTAAGGAGGAGTTTTTCGAAATACCTTGCTAATATGTCAATCCCCTGTCAATTAGGCAAGCAACCTGGTATGTTCCTTGCGTGCTACCTACCCCCGAACCATATGTCTGACCCCAAACGATAGGACATGAGTCCAGCAGCTGCCCGCGTCCTCGTACTACCGAGAGTAAGACTGTCCAATCTCAGGCTCTAGAAAGCGCAAGGATGTTGACTCGTCGATAATAGCCAAGCAGTGCTACAACTGCCAGGGACTAGGCCACGTTCAGGCCGATTGTCCTACTTTGCGTCTCAACGGTGGAGCTAACGGCCGCTGCTACAACTGCAACCAGCCCGGCCATCTTGCTGTACGTCGCTGTCGACCATACTCTCTCTACCTTCTACCTATTGGATCCGGCTGACTTGGATGGTGCTCCAGCGCAACTGCCCCGCTCCTGCCTCTGGTGCCGGTCGTGGTGTCGGTGCTCCCCGCGGGGATTTAACGGTGGATTCCGCGGTGGATACGGTGGTTACCCTCGTGCCGCTACTTGCTACAAGTGCGGTGGTCCCAACCACTTCGCTCGTGACTGCCAAGCTCACGCTATGAAGTGCTATGCTTGCGGCAAGCTTGTAAGTGCTCTCACGTGCAGATGCCTTTGACTAAGACATTTGGCTGACACTCCGAAGGGTCACATCTCCCGTGACTGCACCGCCCCCAACGGTGGCCCCCTGAGCTCTGCTGGCAAGGTCTGCTACAAGTGCTCTCAGGCCGGCCACATCTCTCGTGATTGCCCTAACAACGAGGCTGCTAACCAGCAGCCTGCTGAGTCGGCTACTGCTCCTACTGCCGCTGCCCCGCTCCTGACGCTACCACTGCTGCCGCTGAGGTCAGCGCCGAAGCTGCTCCTGTTCCAGCCCCTGCTCCCACCGCCGCTGTCGCTTAAACGACCACCTTTATCTCGTCTACGAATCCCGCTTTAAGGGAAGCCCGTTTTTACTCCTCCTTTTTGTATTAGGGTTTGCGGAACTCGGTCTTGATATCTTTTCTTTTTTTCCCTCTCACGATTCTTCCATTGCATATATTATGCCCCCGGTTTCAGGTTTCTCAGCACCGGCCTTTTTTATCACTACTATGTATACGACGAACAAAAGTTTCACGATGTCCCTAGGTTCCTGACGACTTGGATCCTACGCATGGCTCAAGGTTCTCATGATTGGCGTCTATTGTTCTCCCCGGGTATCTTTCTCATTTGAATCATATGGTGCGGCAAGGAAAGAAGGAGACGAAGCGAGGCGAAAGGTTAATTGAGCTCAGGAGAGACATTGGTGGACCGGAGTGAGCGTGTTGATATGTATAAGAAAGGTTGACAAGATGGTACGGACGATTTTTGATGTGCTGAAGATTGTGAAAGACAAGGTCCCTGGCGCGGTGTGGCGACCTCATCTGCTCGTACTTACTGCCTTCTCTTATGCTTATCCAGACCCGAAAGAAGAAAAAATTCAGAATCAATTAAACAGATGAAACTTCAACTTTATGAAAGTCCTGCTCTTCCTGCCTATGCTACGCCTTTATCGACCGCCTTTTACTCCCTGTTGGCCTTTGAAGACTCTTCCACTCCCACTGCAGCCTCAAGTCTTGAGGACGATTTGCTCCGTGCCCTGCTCGTCTCTTCTTTCATCATTATTGCTACTTGAGACTTGGCTGCTCTGTGCTGAGCTTGTCCTGGTCTTGTAGCCCCGTTTCCTGTTACGGTCAAATCCCGTGACGACCGGTCTACATTGCGTCTTCTGCTTTCTCCCAGTCCTGTGCCAGATCTCCTCCACTTCGGACTCTAGCTAATCCTACTATATATCGTTGCTGTTATCCTCCTATCATTATCTTCTTCTAAGTAGCCGTTACGAGCACTTGATAAATCATCATGCCTGAATCGGAATCAGGGGACGAGTTCAACGACGATGTAGAGTCACCTTCCCTTTTCCTGCCTTGCTTGCTGAAACACCAGGTTGCGACCAACGTGCGAAGTCACAACAGACGGCTAACTCTTAATCACTCCAGGCCTTCATTGTCGATATCGACAGCATTCAGGCTCATGGTACACCTCGTCCCACCGGTGCACATTCCCATTTGAGCTAACTGAGCTTAAAGGTATCGGCGCTGCAGATATCACTAAGCTCAAGGCAAATGGATTCTATACTGTTGCTGTAATGCAACCACTCTGTTTTTTCTATGCTGTTGTGTTGTCCTCACAAGAACTTACTCTCTTCATAGTCGGTTCACGGTGCCACCCGGAAGACGCTTCTTAAGATAAAGGGTTTTAGCGAGGTCAAGGTCGAGAAGATTAAGGAGGCTATACAAAAATGCTTGGTAAGGACTAGCATAACACTTCTGCCCTGAGAATCACAGTGAGAAGCTCGGCTGACATTGCTTAGCCAGCTGCATCGGGATTCATAACTGCTATGGAGTTAAGTCATCAACGCAAGCGAGTCGTCAAGATCTCGACGGGAAGCAAGCAGTTTGATTCGATTCTCGGAGGGTGAGTTACCAGGATCGTAGCGGACATGCACTTGTCTGACTTCTCCCTAGCGGTTTCCAGAGCATGAGTATCGGTGAAGTCTTTGGAGAATTCCGTTGCGGTAAAACACAACTGTCTCACACAATGTCCGTCGTCGCCCAGCTTCCTAAGGAGATGGGTGGTGCAGATGGCAAGGTCGCTTATATCGACACTGAAGGCACCTTCAGACCAGAGCGCATTGCTCAGATCGCAGAGAGATTTGGCGTCGATCCCGATTCTGCTCAGGAAAACATTGCTTACGCTCGAGCTCTGAACAGCGAGCATCAGCTGGAACTACTCAATACTCTGAGCAGAGAATTCGCTGGAGGCGAGTACAGATTGTTAATAATTGACAGTATCATGAACTGCTTCCGAGTGGATTACTGCGGACGAGGAGAACTTGCGGACCGTCAGCAAAAGCTGAACCAGTTCTTGATGAGACTTGCACATATGGCTGAAGGTTTGTAGCTGCCAATATCCTTCACGATACTTTACAGAACTAACTCAAATTTCTCTCTCAGAGTTCAACGTCTGTGTCTTGATGGTAGGTTTACTTCCTCTTTGCGGCGAACCAAGTCTCACATCAATCTGTAGACAAACCAAGTCCAAAGCGACCCAGGCGCCAGTGCTCTATTTGCGGGAGCTGATGGCCGTAAGCCCGTTGGTGGTCATGTCCTTGCGCATGCATCCACGACCAGAGTCCTCCTTCGCAAGGGTCGTGGTGAAGAACGAGTGGCGAAGATACAGGACTCTCCAGGTTTGTCTCCTTCCAACGCTTTCAAAAGAACTGGTCTGATCGTCTAAAGACTGCCCTGAGCGAGAGGCAACCTATGTGATTACCAACGGTGGTATCAATGATCCAGACAAGGTCTAAAATCTGAGTGGTGTGTCTCCATGCATAGAAGAAAAGAGCATACGATTACAATATGGGATATCGCTCCGGAGGGCCGCAAGTGAGATGGAAGGCTGCAGCTTGTTAAAAGTATTGTTGATTTCGGGAGTTTTAAGGAAAGCCGTGTATGAGATGGGATGTTAGATCGTTAGGCGATGTCCTAGATATATTTGTTTGAGTGGATCTACCATGTGCAATACCTATGTAGTTATGGGTTGTCGATCCTGCGTGGTACTCCGCCTAGTCTCCGCCTTCCCGAAATTATTCAAATAATTTTCCGCTAGAGCAAAACTTCTCAGTAACCAAAAAGAAGGTATTTCTTCGCCGCGCAAATATTTCATTCGTAGCGACAGCCGGTCGCACATATTCCTCAGACTGCCAAAATGAAGAAGCAGTCTCTTGAGATAGCGGGTTACGCAATCCTCCCTGTTCAACTCCCCGAAACACGAGCGTTTCCAAAGCCTGCAACACATTACCTCTACCTCCGGCCTCACGAACCTCGCATTCCGGACGCCGATTCTCCCCGTTCTCTTTTCGTCGTCAATGTGCCGATAGACACAACCGAGCTACATCTGCGCCACCTGTTCGGTACGCAGCTCTCCGCGGGTCGAGTCGAAAAAGTTCATTTCGAGGGAGTCCCGACAAAGAAAGGTTCCGTGTCCATTACACAGGGAAGCGTCTCGAAAAGCAGGAAGCGAAAGAGGGTTACGACAGACGAACTGCAGGACCAACTCGACGACATTTCGTTACCATCAACATGGGACAGGGAATTGCAGAAGAGCGGTGCTCACGCCGTTGTGGTCTTCGCGGACAAGTCGAGCATGGAAGCCAGTCTGAAAGCTGCGACCAAAGCCGCGAAGAAGGGCGCCAAGATCGTTTGGGGTGAAGGCATCGAGGATAGATTACCTGTGCTGGGACTCCAGCGGTATCTCAACCATTGTCAGGCCAGCTACCCGAATCGGGCTGACCTGCTTCGCACGGTGAACGACTTCATGACTGTGTTTACGCAGGTTGCGGAGGCCCGTAAGCGTGAGGAGACTCGCAGGGCTCAGGAGCCGGACGAGGATGGATTCATTACTGTCACGAGTGGGCCGAAGCTTACGTCTATTGCGCATGAAGAAGAGGCTCGGGCACTTGTTGAGAAGCAGAAGAAGAAGCAGGAGGGTCTGGAGGACTTCTACCGGTTCCAGTCGCGTGAGAAGAGGAAGGAGAGGCAGAACCAGTTGCTGAAGAGGTTTGATGAGGACCGGAAGAAATTGGAAGAAATGAAGAGACGCAAGGGGAAGATTAGGGTGAGTCATTTCCCTCACTCGCATTCAGGTACCTTTTTTACTGACTACTCTACAGCCTGAGTGATGTCCCTTGTTCAATATGTTCGACAAAGTATCTCGTTTAGCATGGCGTTTAGGATGGTTAGGCCCAAAAAAGTTTTTTATTTTAAAAGATAGAGAGGGTAAAGGATTGAAGGTTATTGAGTTCATGTGGGTCAACCTTTCCATATTCTTTCATCCCGTTTGACCCCATTCAATGATGAGCACGCTGGGGCCAGAGTAGCAAGACTCATTTCGATGTCATGCAATGCCTTCAAAAACCAGCGATAAATGAAATCTTCTCACCTCTGAAGAATGGTGCCATTTCACCAAATTGCGCTTGTTCCTCAGCACACCCATCGCAGTGGCTAACATAATTTATCGAAATAGATCTATACAACTCGAGGCTTTTCTGGTAAACATTAGATACCTTAGGACGTTTGAGAAGAAATACAACGCGGATCTTTAGATCCGTTATGCCGGCGATTGTTGAAGATTATTTCGTACTGGACTGCTTCATCCTTGCTCATATACGAGCCTTAATATAGATACTATCCACTCTTGTTTCGATAGCAAGCAGCTTGGTCCCTGTCGTCGTTCTCATCCATGTAGACAGAGGTACATGGTAAGCCAGCCACATGGGAGTGCGCACAGACCAGTTGACCATAAAGGCTTGGCAATGACATCTTCAACCCAACATCATATGACCGATCAAGACGTCTGAAGCATTGTCGCCAGTTACATACTGTCGCTTAGGAGCTACGGACTATCCAATTGAACGAAGATAATGAGAGTGGCGTATCGTATTTCTGGTTGACTCATACGTCGTGGTTGAACGAAATATCAGTCCCAAGGAACAAGGATATATATTGAAGCGTACACCTTGAGCCTACCATCGTTCAGATTTACAGCATCCAATATAAACTATCGGCGAGTCTTGGAGTGTTATTATAGCCTCCTATTGTCTCCATCACATCACCATCAATGGCATCAACCGCAACCGATGGCCCTGGGGCCGGGGGCTTCATGCAGCCATCTATTCCATCACCTGCACCGTCATCTATGTCAAGCTCAACAGCAACTCCGGTGCTCCCAAAGCCAAGGTCACATCCACTCAAGGCAGGGTCGATGAAAGAGACGACCGTCATCAATCATATTGACACACAACTCTTGAAAATCAGTCGGCGGCACGCCAAGAAGTTCAGCAGCACATACGACGACCAGTCACAGCAGGACCCGGAAAGAGGCTACGAGAGCTTCCAGGAAGTAGCGAAGGATATCGAAGGGCTCATTGATGTTCTCTGGGTTAGCGGAACACGTATGTTTTTGCCGAAATGATCGACTAAAACGAGGTCTTACTGACGATTTCTCAGCATCGCTGCAAATACCGTACATGATATCTCTGGCGGTGTTGGTCAACTCGTATCTCCCGGACTTTCCGTTCATGCCCAAGCCGACTTTCCGCCTGTTGAGGAAGTTGGACTCGGTCTTTGCTTCTCTGCTGCTTGGGGAAGATGTTGAGTCCGGGGCTCCGCTGTCTGGGTTTGAGAATAACCCGAACCTCATCTCTATGACGGAGAAGGTGCGGATTAAGAGTATTGCAGAGACATGTCGGGTTGCTGTTGTGGAAGCCAAGGAGAATGACAAGTCCAAAGCAGGGGGGGAGGACGACGACGAGAACTCGAGTGATGATGAAGATGAGGATGAGGATGGCGTTTATGGTACGGAAGAATACGAAAGCATTGGGAGATGGGAGATGGAAACTGCCAAGGTCTACGAGAGGACGATTGATCTGCTCGGGGATGAATTGGGGAAAGCGGGCGAGTTCTGCGACAGTAATTTTGCAGCTGGTGAGTCGAAAGAACCGTAGGTGAATTGCACTCTCTTTTCTACACAGAATTCAAATTTAGTAGACTCTGTCTGGGGTCTTCTGGCGCTGTGAGCTCTTGGTTGGATAGTATACAGTTCGTTTTTGGCAATGGTCTCAGTTTGAATCTGATAAGCTACGCTAAACAACGCTCGCAATCGACTCTAGCCGGCGCGGTCCTCTTTCTTCCGTGTCTTAGCTCCGTCGCTACCGCTGTTCTCCCATGATTCGAGGAAAACACGTACCAAACACTTGATTGAGCCAGCCGTGTCAGCAACGAAAAGACTCTTCTAGGAGAGTGGACAAGACAATCCCCACTTTGTGAACACAGCGAGATTTGAGCGTTTCAGTATGGTTGGTTGAGAAAGAGCACAACGCACTTCTATAAACCGTCTCGAAGCATTCTAAATGTTATGAGAGTATATCTACTGTCCCTCAGGAAGGAATACTTGAGGTTGATATTTCACATCCCATCAGTATACTCTATCTTTCTGGTATCTTAGTTGGGTGGTGTCATGGCTGATTAAGTGTCGGCTCGTTGGGCAGCAATAGTAGTATCCGTTCCATGGTTCGATTATTACATTATAAATGTGCTTTGGAGGGATGGTCTGTCTGATGAAAGATGGCCCTGAGGAGCACGATGAGCTCGCACGAGTCTGAGTCGATAGTATGCAGACGTGTATATATTGTAAACAGAATCCTTGGAAGTTGTGATCAGTTGGCAGGCTGTCCAAGAAGCAAACCTGAGGCAGCTAAACTATGACAATACATCCATGGACACCTTAGTAATGTTCCATGAGTACTTAGGTAGTTTGGTATGGATGGAACACATATCTAGGTTACGGGCAGACGCATCCAAGACCAGGTGGGCATTTGCATGAGTTGAGGGTCGAAATATCTGCAAGGGGCCTTGCATCCTGGGGTACGAGATTGGTATCCCACCCACCATCTACAGACCTAGTACAAGTTACTTGACGCAGATTGTGGCATTGGAAAAGGATGTTCAAGTTGAAAGGCAACTCTACACTCCATTTCTCCATGGAGAATGAAAGAATAAGCTAGGGTATGGCCATCCTCCGAACATCAATCTCAACCTTCCGGACGGAGGCATGCTCTCAGTTCAGTAGTGGTCGGTCAGTATGCAAGGACGACAATCCTAAAAGCAGGGATGTCAATGTGCATCCAACACAATATGAACGGAATTCGAAGCCGAACGCTGTGCTTGTGTGATGTCCCTTACTCATGCTTTAAGTGCTACTGCTACATGAGTTATTATCATGCTTGGTGCTCAAGCAAATGTCCATGAGGCCATCGCGTATGTTTCAAAGTCCTAAATTGACAGGTTGATCGCGTCGCGTACGCGTGCAACGCAGTAAGAATGGAGAAGACTTCTCGAATGTCAAAGAACCGAGTTATGACACGACACGGCTTAGGATTGATACCACAAATATCAATTGCGGAATACAGAGATGCAGGATTATGAATCCTTGTACTGGAAACTCACGAGGCTGAAGTTTGTTGAATCCAAAGAACGGCAATCTCTGCCTGTGATGGGCAGTCTGGCTGGACACGTACCTTACAGTGTTCAGAAGGCTAGGCCATACAAGGAAACCAGAACGCATACCGAAATTTTACTGTTCAAAGTAGCTTAACTAAGGAACGTCAGCCTGTAGTGTCCAGCCAATAAGACAATCATACCAAAGTCTAGTTATTTTATGGATATTGGTTGTCGGTGGAGTTCAGCTGGCTTCCTTTCCTTTCTTTTTCCATGTAAGCATGGACTTAAGAGAGTGTACAGTAAGTATCTCAAAGATATCTACTGTCAGGCCTCGTGGACAGGGCGCTGCCTGCTGAAGGCCGGCTTAGACTCTACTATGCCTCCGCCTCGTAGGAGGAACAATAGTGATCAATGGATTTACCTTGCTTCTTAATATATGTATTGACAGAAAGCCCCGGTGCTGTACACATAATCATGAAACCATTGACCATGGCTCTGGGGCATAAATGTGGGTCCTTTTTCAGCCTTCCAGACTTCAAAGACCTCATCACTCTCTCTTTGGGCATCGGCACTGTCCCGAAACTCATGGCCGAAAGAGTTTAGTAAGTGGCCACATTCCTTGTCCTCGAGGTCTTAGAGCCTAAAGATGTTCAACTTCAGCCGTGACTGGCTTGTACAGGAGCATAAGGATCTTTGACACTGATTGGTACGCTTCCAAGCTGAGTCCAGGGCACCTTTCCGCTTCTACACTGTAGGCGGAGTCAAGGAAATTTAATCCCAAGCCATGACTGGTGGTGGCTGCGAACGGTATCTAACCGATCTGCAAAATTTTCTCGAGTTCGCAACCAGTTTGAATGACCGAGACAGAGGCGGAGCCATAAAAACCAACGCTTATGACGATAAGGTCCATGGACGCGGATGGGACCTCGACGAGTCAGAGCGCAAGAACATGATGAAAAAGGCCCTTTGGGGTTCCTTAGCCCCAGACTGCATGTGCATCGGTTCAGATCCTTGCAGATTCTGTGCAGCAGCATTATTAATATTACCCTCAATCCTGACCAGCTTGTAATATTACCGTACAGATCTGGTTACAACTGGAAATGAAAGTAAGGTAAGGACGGATGTCTCAACTGTAGATGATATTCATCATCGTCGCTTGAACTTCATCGACAGCCTGGATGAACTACTCCAAGCCGGTAAGACGTCTTGAGTTCCGTAAGCCTTGAGCTTGAGAACTCAATCAGAAGAGTAAATAATACTCCTCAAGCTGGCCCTCTCCAGACTATATCGGTGATCTTAATACTACTAATGTACCTAACGGATGTTTTAGCAGCTCACCTGTCCCAAAGATTACTGGCCGAGGGTTGATCAGAGATATTGTGGAATGAACCATCACCAGAACTGTCCGTTGTGATTTGGTTATGTCCTCGTATCCCAAAGGATCATACTAGAAGAGGATTAGGCATCAAGATCAGAGCATCGCTAGATGAGGAGACAGGTGTAGGTGGTCTAAGTGAGGTACCTGATTTCGGTATGCGCTTTACATCATATGTAAGTGTTGTGGTAAATCCCGGTAAGGCCGCGATCCCACCATGAAATCCAGATCTGCAAAGTGCGCTAGACTAGGTACCTGCTACTGCTAGATACCTACAGGCTTACAGCCTAGGGCGGCAGGGCCCTAGAGGTAGGACTGTAGGAGGCTAGGACTATCCTGGGCAGGTATCTACATTATTACGCTTGAAAGCCTGAACGCCTGAGCCACGAACCCTGTCTATCTACGGTAGGCGTTGAGTGGTTAACAAAGACAAAGACGAGGAGGTCTAGGTTGCAAAGCTACTACTAGGAAAATAGCATCGTAATTTAGGATGATTTTTTTTTTTTTTTTTTTTTTATAATTATTTTCTAGTTCTGTCAAGTTTTGAAAGAAAGAGAGGAAGAAAAATTCGGCAAAATGCTGTCCCACACCTGGCATTATTGGTACTGAGAGATGATGCGCCCCTCATCTCTTTCCAATTTCCTCCAGACAGCCCGTTCTGGTGTTCAAACCTGTAAGGTAGGGTATTAATAAGGTATTACCTTACTAACTATACCTAATTATTATTCTTTGAATCTTGTTTTTGTTTGTTCGTTCGTCTAAGTAAGCTATTCTTTGCTTCTACTCTTCGGGTCTGCCCTACCTGCCTGCGTTAGGTTGGTTGGTTGGTTGGTTGTAATTATTATCTCCAGGAATTCTTCCCATTTTTTCCCTCTTCTTTTCCCTCTTCTCCCCTCCTTCATCGTCTGAAGAAGAATATCTGACTCTTCTACCCCTCCTCTTCTCTTTTCTTCGTAATCCCTCTCCTTCCTTCTCCTGTTTCTTGTTCTTGTCGGAAAAGACGGAGTCGGTTTTCGGATAGTTCTGTTACCTCTTCTTGTGCCTTTTTCACTTTTTTTCTTCACTTTTACTTCTCCACTTCGCCGGTCTTCGTCGTCCTTGGTGTCTCTCGTCTCGTCGTTAACGAGTAGTCTCGCCTTCGCGCCACGCCAATCGATCGCATATCTTATTTTCTTTTTTGCCTCTGCGAAAAGAAGTCAAGTTTAAAGGCGCTTCTATTTGATATACCTGGTAAGCCATATTGAGTTTTCTTTGCGCATTACGTCGCCCCGCACGGTCCCTATCGGCCCTCTTCCCTCCCGTATACCATCCCTACTGTTCAGAAGCGGTGGTGCACCTTGGAAGCTCAGGCTTTCTGCTCTGGGGTCTACATTCTTTCACGGCTCAATTCCTTTGCCGTCATTCTTGAATACTGCGCGGGAGTCGTGAGGTTCGTCTAAGAGTGTCCATTGGCGCTGCCCATCACCTGCGCAAAACCGATTGCTTTCTCGCCTTGACAGAGAGGATTCCGATACATGTCGGACAGTCGGACCAGCTCATAACGTCTTTCGGTCGTGTCTTCGACTTTGTGAAATATACAATACATTGTTATGGCTTTTGGTCCGATGGGAATCCCTCTGTCTGGACTGGCGGGGACGGTCGCAACCGGAGTGCACTTGAACCAACGTTGACGAAAGCGGCTGCAACCTGGCGGAGACACGCTACTTCACGCTTCACGCTTCACAATACTCGATCGGTTCTCTTTCGGTCGCTTCGCTTAGCAAATCAGCATTCCGACTTTTCCGTCACTTTTGGAGCTTCAGTCGCTGCAATTTTCATCTTGGCAATTAGTGAATCAGTGAAGAGCGCTAGTTGAGTCGAATAACAGGGATTCGTGCCTCAACATTGAATGACATGCTTTTTTGGGAATCGGTCGTTGGTATCTGCCTCACGCTATACCTCAACTTCAGTCACTCAGCGCTCGTTTCTCAAATTCTGCGATCTCCAGCCTCACTTTGAAGGCGCTCGTCAGATTCTTGGTCCAATCGCACTCCTGTTGTGATTTCTGAACCATTATCCATCATTGCCTCAATTCTATCTTGGCTTCTAAATCCTCATTTTACTAACCACCACTTGTGTATTCGTGACAGGGAGCCAATTAGTTTTCTTTCGAGTATAAACGAGCGTACGCTGTTCTCTCCTTAACGACTCCCAACGAATTTTCGCTTGAACGAGCCGTTTTCGGGATAGAAAGATTTCGTGCTTTGAACGTCAGTTTCGAGGTACGTAACCTCGCCGACGCGACCTTTCTGCCGCTTTCGCGCCGTCGCACCTTCATCACATTCGATGGAAGCTATTTACGCGTTTTTCGCTAATACTAATTACTATGTGTCCAGATAACATTAACGTGATTCCTATCTTTACGACCGTCGGAGTTTAGTCAACATGTCTTTCCAAAACTTTGACTCTTTCCAAAACCAGCACCCGTCAGCCGACGCTGCTGCTGCTGCCCCAGGCGCTCCGGCAACTGCGGATACCACCATGACCGGCCAGGCTGACCCTACCACTGGCTCTTTCCAAGGCCCTGCCCCGGCGAGCCCTCAGCTGCTCCTGTGGCTCAGCAGGGCGGTGAGGGAAAGACCACTCTTTGGTACGCTTGGCCTTGATCATCGCGCTCATGCGCATTTTCGGAAAGACGCGTTCTTTTTCGCTGACGGCCATTCAGGATGGGCGAGCTTGAGCCTTGGATCGACGAGAACTTCATCCGCAATCTGTGGTTCCAGATGGGCGAGCAGGTCAATGTCAAGATGATCCGTGACAAGTTTTCTGGGTGAGTTTATAGGAAACTTCTTACTCTTTTGAAGGCGATCCTAATGTTGGTAGTAGGAGCAATGCCGGATATTGCTTCGTCGACTTCGCTTCCCCTGCCGCTGCTGCCAAGGCCCTCTCTCTCAACGGGACCCCATGCCCAACACCAACCGCGTGTTCAAGCTGAACTGGGCCACTGGCGGCGGTCTTGCTGATAGAAGGTGAGTAATGTACAATGTGAATCTGGGTTTACCGGAGATTGACTTGTGCAGCCGTGACGACCGTGGTCCCGAGTACTCCATCTTTGTTGGTGATCTCGGCCCTGAAGTCAACGAATACGTCCTTGTTTCCCTGTTCCAAAACCGATTCCCGTCCTGCAAGTCCGCGAAGATCATGACCGACCCCATCAGCGGCATGTCTCGTGGCTATGGTTTCGTTCGCTTCTCCGACGAGAACGACCAGCAGCGTGCTTTGACCGAGATGCAGGGTGTCTACTGCGGCAACCGTCCCATGCGCATCTCCACCGCCACTCCCAAGAACAAGGGTCCTGGTGTTGTTCCCGGAGCCATGGGCATGCCTGGTCCCGCTGGCATGTACCCCCCAATGGGCGCTCCTCCCATGGGATTTTACGGTGCTCCTCAGCCTATGAACCAGTTCACTGACCCTAACAACACAACTGTTTTCGTCGGTGGACTCTCTGGTTATGTCACCGAGGATGAGCTCCGCTCTTTCTTCCAGGGATTCGGCGAGATCACTTACGTCAAGATCCCTCCTGGAAAGGGTTGCGGCTTCGTTCAGTTCGTTCAGCGCCACGCCGCGGAGATGGCCATCAATCAGATGCAGGGATACCCCATCGGTAACTCCCGTGTGCGTCTCAGCTGGGGTCGCTCTCAAAACAACTCCGGCCCCGCTGGCAGCCCTTACCGCCCTGCTCCTCCCCCGCCTCCGATGTACCCCTCTATGGGCATGCCCCAGCGCACCAGTACGGTGGTTTCGCGCCTATGAAGGTTGGTAGTCTCAATAATACTTCTGAAGCCCCTCGGTCATCTGATGAAGCTCAGTTTGATTAACGAAGACTTGTACAGTAAAAAGCGTTCGTTATTCTGAAGCACCTGCAGGAGTTTTGCGTCATTCCAACGATGGGTCTTTTGTGTCATAACACGTTTGCTATTTATTACTGCGAAGGCTCCCCTTTATAGCTCTTGATGGGCATTCTCTCCTGTGCTACTCGTTTGATCTCGTATGAGCGCTTTATTCACCGCAAGATTGAGCTCTTTCTATTTAAACCTATCTCAATGTTCTTCATCATGCCATTACCCCTTTCTTGACGTTTCTCTTGTTGTTCACCCACGCCCCAATGTCCCCTTCTATTCTCGTCATATTCGGCCCCTAGGTTACGTTGCTCATGTAACAGCAATTCAAATTGTTTATGCGCTTTCACCCTTGCCTTTTTTCGTCTTTCCTCATGTCTCCTATACTCTTCGGGCAGGCATTCTTGCGAAAAGTTCATCTCTCATGTCTTTCTCATGAAGCAATCAAGTCCAATCGTATTCCGCTATGAGGATTCTACGTCATGCTTTTTGCTAGACAGATGGCCTGTACAACACCCTTGTTTGCCCTCCTGTTTCTTCGATTTAGGTTTCATGGAAGATCAATTTTCCCACTCATTCGACTCTTTCTTTTGTGCGCGAGAGGTCTATTTTGACCATGAAACTGGATGCTTTCCACACAGGCTTTGTGAGAGAGGAGAGGCGGATTCTCATCAGTTCACCATCATAGCATTGTAGGCCTTACGGAGGATTCATCGTCTGTCAATCTTCGCGTGCCTATGAAGTTCGCTCGGTGGCTCAATTGCATCATTGTTAAAAGGTTTACGGCGGTCTGTTGCGACTGCGAGCAGTCTCTGGGCGTTCCGAGTATATGCAAGCGTTCGTAACTTTTCTGGTTCTTTGCAACTCTTGGAGAGGTCTTCTGTTGCTTCGATATCCATCCACGTCTGGCGTTTACTCTCCTACCGTTTGTCTGCCCTTCACGGATGATTCCCCCTTTATTGACTAGCTCGCTGAGTTTATGTGCCGCTGCCTCCTCATAAGTCCGAATAGCGAAATAGATAGCCTTCAATACGCTTATCGTCACTCTATCCCTCTCACTCTGCCTTATCACACAGTACCCGGCTTTCTCCTATACCATTTCTCATCGCAAGATATAGTGCGCAATTGTCTCGGCCCAGAGTGTCGTCGGCTGATCTCTTGTCACGCCCTCCTTCCGAGATAGGAAATCCCATTCCCAACTTGCTTATTAGAGCAGGAGCACCCATTGGTACCTAAATATCGCCTGATTTTGTCTTCACCTTCACGTCTTCCTCCATTGACTATCGTCTTCGAGGTCAGCTACTCAGGGCTTCTCGTTTCGTCCTTGGTCTGCACGTGCATGTGCTTTCATTTACTTCAGTATTCTCTACAAAACCCAGCTTCATGAGTCAGCTCTCATTCTTCCCGAGACTCGAAACCGCGTAGGTTCAGGATGCGATACGAGAACTGGGATGTGCTGCTCTTCCCTGAGAGCTCCAAGGTGCCGATTCAGGAGTTCAGGACACAATGTTTCGTTACCCAAGAGGAAGGTCGGTGCCAATTCAGCCAGCAAGTACGACAGCTCTCACTCATGCCACTACAGTGGAGACACCGTATATCAACAGTGCTGCCATCGTCAATCCAGGCTCTTACTTCATGCCGCGAGCTAGTTTAGTCCAACTGCCAGTCCTCACCACTTTCATCCCGAGTTTGCCTCAGAATACCCCGTTCCGAGTGTCTGTTCATAGCTGGGACAAACCTCGTCCCAGCCTTCTAATGGAGAGTTTGATGCAACCAGATGATGCCTTGCTCTTCGAGATCCGGATTTTCATTGATGGGTTATGTGTTTCGTAAGCCCATTCATTTGATACAACCCATCTGAGCTCAAGAAATGTGCTAAATTGATCTATAACGCGTGATAGAGGAAGTGTGTTCGGGCAGAGAACTAACTGGCCGCACATTATCGGTAACTTGGGCTTCTCATCCCCTATACACATTGCAAGATAACTAATTGCCTGTCCTTTCTATCCAGAGTTGAGTTCTCGTAGGAATCCCTTCCTCATCCTCTGTTGAGAGTACTCTGACAGGCTTTGAAGATGTTGATAAGAACGGAGATCAGGACTACCTTCGTTTCCCGGCTTTCCACCAAGATATTCTGGAACAAAGACACTGGGAAGCTGGAGACTTGCATGGCAGAATCAGAGTGGTTATAGCTGAAGGATTCGCTCGGCCAAATCGCAATCCTCCGTTCGAGAGAGTCAAGGATATAATTGCGTTTTCCTTCCAGCATGCGCCTCTGCGTAAGTTCTTTCTGAATGATCTCTCTTCCCTCGAACCCAGTGGTCTCAGCTGATCCCAGAGCAGAAGTCCTGGAGTGCTCCAACATTGCCTGGCCTAATTCTGGCATGTGGTCCCGTGGGCAGCGTGTCTTCAAATACAATGCTGGAAGCGTTATGAGCGGCGCAAAGCAAGAAGAGGACCTACATGCCCACTCGCCAACTCGACATGAGAATCGAAGCGTGGTAGCCAACAGCAACCGAGTCAGTAACCCAGCGTCGTATACAGCTTGGCCGTATAGGAATTATCCACCACCTCCCCCGCCTCAGTGGCAAAATAGCAACAGGGAAACAACGTGGACGTATCAACCTACTCAAGAACCTCTCATGGCGGACCCTTTCATCGATCCACACATCCTTGACCCCGCTGCACGCCATCGAGGGGCAAGACCGTCTTGGGAGGACGTGTGTATGCCTGATTATATTTCCAGTTCATCCAGCAGCCGCGCTATATCCAGCATGACCGGTATAAGCTACGAGCATAGCAAGCAACCAAGCATTGTTGCTCCTATTGATGAGGAAACGTATTCTCAACTTTTCGAGGGAGTCAGTCCCCAAAGCCTCTCGTCTGCACTTCTCAAACACCCAAGAATACGTCATCAGCATTACCTCCTGTTGCTTCTAAGCTTTCTGCTGCTGCCGAAGAGCGTTCATTGTCTTGTGTCAAGGCAGCAAGGCGCCCGTCGATTCTGAAGGAGCTTTCACAGCCAGGATCTAGAAGCGTATCTGGTTCCAGCGCCAAATCCAATCTCCCTGCCGAGGCATTGCTGGAAGCTACAGCAACTTGCAAACTGCACGTTAGTCCAACTACACAGATCAGGAGTAAGAAGGAGGGAATCTCTTCGGATAACAAAGAGAATGAGGCCTCTAGCGAGACACCACGCCGGGACAATGACAAAGTCGACCGTACACCTACCAAGCTCACCGTGCGCACAAGTGGAAATTTCGAGACACCCATCGAGTCCAGACGACGCCGTTCTACCACGAGTTCTGCTCGTGGAGGCGTGAGTCTCATCGCTGAAAAGGAGACGGTGCTCCTCAGTCCATCCAAGAACTTGCCCGTGGTCGAAGATCATGTCACCGTAGTTGAAGATCATGATCAACACGCAGGCTCTGGTGACTTTCTGGATGCCAAACTTCAGATTATCGACACCGCTGCCGATACAGTCGAGATTGACTAACTCGGACGATTCTCACAAGTATCAATAGCAGCTGACGGGTGGTGTAGAGAGTCGCTTGGGTTGCTTTGTCTGCTACGTCTTCGGTCTCATGCTTTCCGAAGCATCCACACTCATTGATTGTTATATATGCTTCTAACTATATTATTATTGACGATAAGTTTGACTGGTGTCAAAGAGAGTTGATTATCGATGGACTTCCATCCGAGGAAGGAGTTTAGTATGTTCAATTGGTCAGCTCAGCTTTCATCAAAACGTTCCATAGCAGATACAATTACCATGTTACTTATGGTCTGTAAAGCAAAGGACTGTACACTGAACAATTGCCTAGCGAAGATCCAGGCGCTCGTAGAACAATCCAGACAAAGATTGATTCGGGTCTGAATCAGCTCATCGCCCTGTTCCCTTCTGAGTTTGCATCATCAAATTCCCTATAGGGCCATCATGAGCTGTTCTGCTCACGCTAGATACAGTGCATTAGCTCATAAGGTAGGAGTGTGAGAACAGCAGGAACCCAAGGTGAGATGGCAGAGATCACCTGTATGCCTCTGCTGCCGCTACATTAGTTGCAGGGGCCTTCTGTGTATTCACCTATTCACTCCTTCTGTTTGTTTACTCACCCACCTTCTTGCACCTCTCATCTTGTGTTTATCTCTGTCCTTCTCCTCACACCTCACAGCTCACTCTTTCTCTTTTCTCATCCCAATACATCATTATCCGGCATGGATTCCACTGAGAAGAGCAGTCGTCTCGCCTTTGGCCTCACCTCGTTTCCTTCCAGTACGCCTCGCCAAGACAGCGATCAATCTGGACCTAGTCATCAGATTGGTTTCACTTTCCGTCCCCCTAAGGCTTGTGGAGGGTTTTCTCAGTGGGCCTCAGGTTCAGCTGGACTTTTGAATACTTCACCTTCCGAGGATCATGCTCCTGACGTCTCTGGGAAGACTAATCCAACTAGTCCTGCTTGCAAGATGGAGTTACATGCCAGTGAAGATGCTCCTCGTATCGTCGCAGAAGGAGCGCCTGGGGCTTCTGCTGTTGTGGTACGGGGAGAACAAGAGCAGGTCAATTCCCTAGGACTACTTGCGTCCGGTGCCATCGCCCCTGACCGGACTGAAATGTCGGGGGTGATGAGTCTTGTGCCAGTTGCAGCTCGTACATCGCGGGCGTACGTGGTACTCGAATCTCAGAAGGTAAGTCTATTTCACTCGACTAGGGCAAGGAATCCTCCAGTATACCCTTTTCACCTCTATCGCGTCAGAATATCAGTAATGTATCGAACTGACGAAAATTCCCTGCAGGACCCGGGAAATTGCCTGCCCCTGGGCTCTCTCGATATTTCCACCCTTAGCAGCGATAAAGTCCTCTACTACTTCAGCGTACTGGCAATACAGGCTCTTCTACTCCCGAAGTTTCAGTGTGACTCCAGCAAAAAACGTGGCTTTTGGAAAGGCAAGTTGACTTTGTACGGGCTAACCTTTGAATCGGACTATTCATTCCATACCCCTCTCCAAGCCAAAAGTGCTATGGCGCGTAAGGCCCTTGAGAAGCTGCAGCGCCCCTACTCTTCCTGGACGGTGCCGCCAGAGCCGATGGATTGCCCTCTAACGACGGGTTGGAGTTGGACCGACATCTTGAAAGGTATCTTACACATCCTCACGTTGTGATGATAGCTAATGGTCTGGTTTGACAGACTACTGCATTCAGAATGGTTTGCCGGAACCAACGTATACCAAGTACAGTCACAAGCAAGGATGTCGCCATGAGGCTCAAGTAGCCAACTTTTCACGCTTTGGAGCGCTCAAGCATTACGCTCAGGAGTGGAACTCAAAGAATTCTGCTGCTCAAATGACCCTGTATGCGCTTTTGACGCTTGGTCAACTCCCGCCGGATGGCATCAGCGGCGCGGCCGCGCTACGAAATTTCGACGAGGGCCTGTTGGTTGTGGTCCCCAGAGAAACATTCCAAGCGGGTATAAGCAACGGAAACGATAGTTCGAAGGGTCCCCGCAAAAGGCTTGGTGAGGATCATGCTAGCAAAGGCCAAGCCAAAAAGCGAGTGGTCAAAGACAGCTCCGAGGGC